TCGCATTCCAGGAATAAAAACGTCTGTCGATTTTGTATGTTTGCAAGTATAACATTGCAGGGGCGATATTGGGTTAGCGACAAACCTTAAGAGACATCTCTGATACATAAATTACAGCCAGCCGGTCTCAATACCAATTTGAGTTCCCGGAGTCTGATGTTACTATAGTTGAGAATCCATATATAGTGTATAAACTCAGTCTATGGCCTCATGTCATGCATCTGTAATTATCCCAAATGTCAGATTTAACTCCAACAACAAATATTATCCAGCGCCGGAAGCCCCGATAATCGCCTTGTAAGGTCTTCAAAACATTACATCTGGTCCACCTCTCGCATAAGGCGCAATGGATATCTCTATATTAAGGCCCAGGACTATAATGTAATAATCTCGGTTAGAGGTACCATCATGTGTAATTTACATCTGCAAGTAGCTCATATGGAAGTTATGAGATTTAGCCATTCACGGGCTCGAGGGTCCAAAGTGCGCTTTAGGAGTCGTGGGAAAACTCGGCTTCCTGGGTGCATGGAAGTTGGGGAAAACTTTTGGTCCCAGACTGTGGAATGTTCTGTCGTTGCTTCTATCAATAACAGCACGAAAGTTCGTATGCTCTCGATATGAGGGCCTAAATTTTGGCAGTGACCTCAAAAGTTTTTACAACTGAGATAGCTAAGTTAATCTGCTCGGTTAGCTGGCGCGCTGAGCTAAATCGTTACGTAATTCTTTGTATACCGATGAACACGCCGATGTCACATCCACAGCTCTTCGGTCACTCTAACGCGCACTCAACCTGGCTTCACCAGTACTGCCAGTTGGACAATTAGGCCTTCATGACATTAGGCCCGTCAGATAGGTTGAAAAAAGTTCTACTTTCCTGCGAGTTTCAAAGCTTAGTTCAGAGGCCAGGAAACAGTTAACGATAAGGTCTAGTGCGAAGTAGAATGAATACGTGTACTTAAATATTGATACCCTGTATCCTGCCCATTCTTATATATCAGTAAAGCTAACGCCTGAGTCAAAAGGACCAAAAAAGCATAATAGAATGAAGTTTATAAATTTAATTCTCATAAACTGAGAGAAGAAGCAGTGTGAAATACACTCATGTCAGTGTATAATACATCAAGGCAGAAGCAAGTAGCAGGAAACTGTGGTCAATCTCGATTCTCCCATGGAGTATCGTAACTACAGATCCTTCAATATTTACGTATGGAAAGGGATTCTGCCATGAGATTAGGAGAAACTGCATATCTGCTTGGGCAAATCGTATAGCCTACTTGGCCCCGTGTAGGACGGCTTCAGATGGATGTAATCTGGGGACCATAATGGATCTACCAGAAAATTAACTCTACAAATCTGGGTATATGACGGAACTGGGATATCTGACGATAATACATTAACAATTTTATGTCCAATGTCAACACTTCAGGCTCTCATCTGCACTCGCTTCCGTATGTCCATCTTCCTCTTCGATTATCGTCGTGATCGGAGTGGTTGGAACATGAGGTCCATTTGAACCACTAAATACACTTGATGTTGTTGAGCTCGTGGTTGTAATTGTGTTGATTCCACTACTGGAAAGTGATGATATTCTAGTTGGCGATTCAGATTCGCAAAATGAAGAGCTGACTCGAGATCTGAAGGCCTTTGTCAATGGTGACTCCTTATGATGCTCAAGATTTGACTTTCTTAATCTCAAAGTTGGAGACGGCGAGAGTCCGTTTTGTTCATCAATACCAGTTTTTGTTTCCTTTTCCATTGTACTCATGGAGCTTAATGTGAATATATTATCCTCATCATCATCATGAATATCGTACGGGTAATCGCTGGTGTCAAGGGGTAGTTTGGTAGATTTTCTATCATTACCAGTACCCTTTAGGGCGGCACTTTTGGCGTACTCACTCAGTATCGATTCAGACGATGGTATTATCTTCACAGTTGCAATTTTGGAACCAACCAATTTCCTTTTCTTCTCTAAAGTGGCGGGTATCTGTTTTTCTAATTTGGTCAGCCAGTATATGATCTTGACAAATGTATAGTACGTGAATATCCCCATAAACATGGACGTTATACACATCAGGTTAACGTACCTTAGCCATTGCACAACAATCTTCAACTCTTCGATACCGAACTCCACGTCAAACAAGTGTTCGAGAGAAGTTTGAAATAAGAGAGATAGCCAGAAGTTTAAGAATACATGGGCGTTGTACTCCAAGATGTGTATGAGCAACGATATAGGCTCAAATATCACAGTAACTATTGCTCTGAGCAAGAATGCAATCACTTTTATAAATTTCCACACTGTGCTGAACAGACCAATCCCTATCGATCGTACTAGAAATTTACCACTTTGATATACCCACAATGGCATCTCTCTGAGCGCCTGAGCCAGCAATGTCGTTGCCCTTACATAAGTCCAGCTTAACCAATTAACAGAGATATCTTTTACCATCATTATCACCAATTGTCTTATATTTCAGCTATAAGCGTAAGAGAGAGTGACGTTGCTTTCCAATAACGCTTTGGCTGATTAACGCGTATTGTCTAGCATTACTCCCCTCGTTTGTTATTCATCTTTGCCCTAAATCCGGTGGCTTTATTGTTTTCGTTAGGCGCACTATTGGATCTTCTTGAAGGTGAAATTTTTCATTTAATTTTCTCCTCTTCCTTTAACCAACAATACAACCAAACAAGGTAGAGAAGCGATGGGAGTTCAAATAGAAAGACCAAGAACGACTTTGGATAAGGATATCCGCGTTGTACACTGCTTCTATAGCACTCCCGAAGCACACAAAGCCTCTTCTCTCTCTATATAAAAACACACAGGTGTATATACATAAGATTTTACACTCCTCTTTCTGCCCCACATCCTTTTTTTGCTTCCATAGGATAGTGGGTTCTGGTATGGAGAAGAATGAGCCCATTTCAACGTTCTTAGTCCGCCTTTTGATACATCTAGGGCTTTGTAATTTTGGTGGGATCGTGTCTAGGATCACTTAATTCCCGCGAGGGTCTGTGCTTTCCATCTATTAGGATTGGACAGTGGTGGTTGAGACTACATTTATTGTAAATTGTATTCCAATTGGTGTAGATTGTATGGTAGTCTGCTTCTCCTCGTCCAAACATTACGTCTTTTAAGGACTCACGTTGTTCTTAAGCGCTGTTCTTGTGGTGCAGCGGCAACGAACATCCACACACACAAACTCACGGCGGTAAATATAACAAGGGAAAAAAACGCCAGACCAACAACAACACGAACCCCCTTTGGGCTTTTTAAAATTAGAACACTACCAAAGTAAACAAGCCAATTACAAATGACCGCTACGCCAAAGAAGTCCACTGAGGCAGAAGATGTGTTGGAGTTCTTGAACTCTCTGCCTGAAACTTCTAAAAAAGATGGTGCAAAAACTGACGCCGACATCTTGAACTTCTTGGATGAGCTGGAAGCCAACGATAAGTCAAAGGATAAGACGAAAGGGGCGGCTAAGGTTGAGTCTAAAGAAAAGCGCACGGAGGAGGCTCAGGAGGAGGCTCAGGAGGAGGCTCAGGAGGAGGCTCAGGAGGAAGTTCAGGACAAAGCAAACGCTGATGCCCCACAAGAATCCACAGGGCCAGAGAAGACCACCAAAGAGGAACCTCAACAGGACTTTATCGATCCAATAGCCTCAATCTCAAACTGGTGGTCTTCGAGTGGATCTGCCACTGTTACATCGCTATGGAGCAATGCTCAGCAGCTGACTCAAAAGGCACAAGAGGAAGCTCAAAAATTGGCTAAGGATACAAATATCGACGGAAAGTTGAAACAGTTACAGAACTTGCAACTGGATGAGGAGACAAAGAAGAAGATCTTGAATGCACGTGAAGACATTGATCCTTCGAAGGCAATTGGGTTCTTTACCAAAAACATCACCAGTGTTCTCAACTCGATCTTGGCCACTGATGAGATCTTAAAGATTTCAGTGACCCATGATTTGGAGAACTACAACGTTGATTCTCTTGTATCACAGAGCTTTAAAACCGTTATGAAGCAGGTTCAAGGTGGAATTGACATTGAAATAAAGAAGAGTACCGTCAAAGATGACCATGATAAGCGTAATCTAAACATATTCCAAGGAAAATCCATTGACGGTGAGAAGTTGGCATTTGCTAACATTGAGACCATTATCAAAGCGGATAGCAAAGATGAGACCAAAGATGAGGACCAGGATGATGAAATTAGATCTTCAAACCTCTATATTTCCATAGTTGCCGTTCAAAACTCGCACAAGGATCAAGAATCAGAAACCACTGTTATCGATACTGCTGATTCCAACAATTTCTACTTCACTATCATCTTAAAGGATACCACTAATGACATCACTATAATCACCAGATCTCAAGCATTCCCAATCAAATGGGCCAAATGGCTGGATGGATCTGTAGAGAAGCAAGATCAAGAAGCTGAGCAAGAGGAACAAGAAGAAGGCGTGGACCCTGCTGAATGGGTCAAGACTTGGGTTTACGATGGAATCGGATTAAGTTTAGGAGTGCTGGCCCAAAGTTATGTCGTCAAGAGAATGGGATACGATTGAAGATTATATAGTTCAATTATTGATATGGTTTCAATAGATGCTGTAACGTTTTCGAGTCGTTGGCAATATGACCTTTCTCCCAATCAACAACCAATGGAGGGTTAAAATCACCTTGGTTGTTCAGTTCAGTAAATTTGTCAACGCCCAGCTCCACAGACTGTAACTCTTCCGGTATAACGATCTTACTGTCAGGGTTGACGAAATGTGGAAAAACCTTGGTGAAAATCTTCAACTGTTCTGAGTCTGATTGTGCAAATGATTTCAGCAAGTTTAACTGATCATAAGTGGGCAATGCATCACGTATCTCTTCAACCTGGAATTTCTCCAATTGTGGTGGTTCGTTCTTCCCCTTGGAGATATATGACCACAGCGAACGTCTCGAGCCTTCTTTCTCTTTCTTAAAATCTGGGTTGGAATGCGGATTAGCAGCTGATAGCAACGTCTTCAACAGCGGAGTTGAAGGTTTCCCCAAACTGTGGAACAGCGTGATGATACCTGGATTTGATTGAAGCGTTTTAAACATTGACATATCTGATACCTGCAAGCAACAGTAAAGTGAACAAGTTGTGTATGGTATTTTTCACCCTTTCTTAAGAAGTTCTTAGAGTTCCCGTTATACCCCAAAATTGCAAAGGTTGCTGTGTAACCCCCATTTCTCAACCCAAACCGGATATGTCCCAAAGATTGGAATGTCCTGAAAGTTTTGACGTAGAACATGCATATGTCTTGAAAACAGATAATCTCAATTCCCATTGGTGAATACTGATGACAAGACTACAAAAATAGTAGCACTGGATTCTTGGAATCATTTGTAATATAGCAGTATAAATTAGTTTGAATCTAAGATAACTTCAATTCCCTTTACCTAAAGGCTTAGCGAATTCAATGAGTTTTAAGGTTGGGTGGGTCATGCGGTTACTGTGGTTTCAAACTATCTTCATGTAAAACCTACAGGTCACAGTGTACTTTCTGCCCAAAAACATCCAAACATAACCACTTCACTGTTCAAGTACAACAGCACCAAAGCTTGGTTTTGATGAGCACCACTGTTAATAACCCCAAATTGGAAGAAGTTCTTCTCAGCAACAATCAGTTTCATATTACACGGTTAAGCTTAAAATCACTTTGTGAAATCATTCTCAAGTGACTTTTGTAATGATTGAATGAGACGAAGGCGTTGTCTGAAAGTGTGCTCAATGTGAATAAGAGTTGGCAAGTTCATCTTAGTAGTGATGCTGTGTTGCTAGACATGTTGCCACGCTTGTTGTTTAAGGCGTCCACTCATCATGATACTACTGTCATACTAAGTTTTCAGCATACTCAACTAATAACTGTGAACGCACCCTTAAAGATGGAGCTGACCTATGATCAACCGTGATTATTGAGAATTACAACAAGCTTGGTAATATCCGTAACCATAGCTTCATTGTACAATCAAGGCTGCATGCTACATGAAGACATACATGTCAAATTCTACCTAATCAAAGGTTGATTGCGAAAAGTCAGGCGGAAAGAAAATCTGCGTATCTCAAAACCTGTACATGCCCTGTATTTAAGCCATATGTGTCATTTCAATGAAGGAGCCCCTTCTGCTAGCGAAGTAGACTCCCGCTATACCAACCCTACGCTCACAAGACAAAACCAATTGAAGAGATATATAAACTATCCATATAAGCGAACTAAAAGTTAACCTTAGCAACGGTCTCAGCAAAGTATTTGCCCTGAGCAGTAGCAATGTCCAGCTCAAGCTTTGTAGGCTGTCTTGAACCATCACCAGAGGCATAAGTTCCTGCACCCCAAGGAGAACCACCGTGGACCTCTTCCAGATTGACTTGGAGTTCACCAGCGGCACCGTACCCTAATGGAACAAAGATTATCCCGTGATGAACCAAGGTGGATAAGGAGTTCGAAGCAGTAACTTCTTGACCACCTCCTGGAGTACCAGTGGAAACGAATACGCCGGCGTATTTCCCTTGTAGCGCAGCCTTGGCCCAGAGACCACCAGTGGCATCCCAAAATGCCTTCCATTGAGCAGGGAAGTTACCGTATCTCGTTGGAATGCCAAACAAGAAGGCATCGTACTTGGTCAATGTTTCATTTGTAGCGATTGGATAATCAGGTTTAGGTGGCGCATGCATCTTCGTCAGGATCTCATCGCTTAGCGTCTCTGGAACTTGATAAATCGTTGCAGTGGCACCTGTGCTGTCAACACCAGCCTTGACAGCCTCCGCCATCTTAGCGACGTGACCGTATAGAGAATAGATTATGATTCCAACGTTCTTAGGAGCCATCGTAGTTGTGCTTTGTAGTGTCAATTGTTTTGATGTGTCCTTGTTGGTGTTGTTCAGACAAGTTTGGAAAATGGGAAATCAGGAATGCCTTTTATACCCTGTAATGTCGATGGAATGGCTGGGCTGGCGTTATAAGACAATGCAAGAAATAATTTAGGGGACCTACAGAGCTGGGGTTTGCATCACATGTTACTAAAATCTTTGTAATCTGCTCCTAATGCATTGCTAAGTTTCGATTATCTTATAATTGTCATCACTAGTGACAAATGGTTGTGTAATCAATGTTTAGGAAAACGTGCATTGGCCTGGGCGTACTCAAACGTCATACCCAAATACGTCAGGTCTTCTCTGGTTCCATAGTGGCATGTTGGTTCTTACTTTAGTCAAATGCTCTAAATCAATGTCTGCAACGCAAATCGACTCAGCCTGTGGATCGATATCACTAACTTCGGCTATGATTGTACCCCATGGATCCACAATTATAGTGTGTCCATAGCTGAACCTTGTTGGTGCCTCGATTGCTAATCCTTGGGCATCACTGTCATCTGTTATACTAGTGACATGGCCACCTGTTTGAGCTGCCATCACAACATAGCACTGTGTATCAATTGCCCTTGAACGTCCCAGCAGATGCCAATGGGCTGCGCCTGTTCTCTGCGTAAAAGCCGAAGGAAACGATAAGATATCAGCTCCCAAAGTTCTCAACCTCAAAGCAATCTCTGGGAAGCGTAGATCATAGCAGATTGCCAATCCAACGTTCCCAGCAGGAGAGCTAAACGGTGCCACAACACTATTTCCGGGCTCCACACCTTGAGACTCTTTGATTATAGCACCCCCAGGGATCTCAACATCAAACAAATGGACTTTTTGGTACCTGTGGACGATTTCCCCCCTTGGATTGAACCACAATGAGGTGTTCAATACTCGGTTGCCCTCTTTGGACGGTTCATGGACACCAACGTTAACCTCGAGGTCGACTCCAGCACTGGATAGCTGTCTCAACTTTGAGGATATGGCTTGGACAAATGGTGATTCATCAACGTGTTTGGCCAATTCTTTGGAAAATTCCTGCGATTTGGCTATGTAATCTGAGGCTTCTGGAAGAAATAGCACTTTTGCGTTGGCTTTAACTGCTCTTTCGATAAGTCTAACGGCCACTTCACCATTCTTCTTAAGCGAAGAGGTAGAGGAGAGCTGTCCGGCTGCTATCAACACCATTATTCGCTTACGGCTATCGTTCACTTGGAGCTATCGTTGGTGTCTAGGTTGCACGCTGATGAGGAAACCCTTTTCGTTTAACCTCCAGTTAAAATGTGGATGTAATTAGTTGCGGAGCTATGGCCGCATTAGGGAATAACGCCCGGTGGTGGAAATGGAGAACACCTCACCATTGGATGGCTCCGTTCTGTATTGATAAGTAATTGAAACCCATAGATCATAGCCAGCTTCGACGTCATAAGCGATGTAATTAACTGAAATGACGAGCCAGTGCCCGTACGCCCAGGTTGTAGGGGGAAAATACCCGACGTTCATCAACAATGCAGCGTCGGAGTACGATAAGTGTATAACAAAGGACCGGTAAATTTCGATGTATATCCGTCTCACCTCTCGAACCAGCACAAGTCTTACTACTCAGTCCTAAGAACATCTACTGCGACAATATGGGGCTCTCTGGACCTGAATTGGTTAAAGCTAAGGGTACAATCACGGAGCCTGTCATCCTGACTCTGAAGGACGGCAGTAAGGCCACTCTTTTACCCTTTTACCATACTGATTTAGACACCCCCAAGCTTCCTTCGAGCCTCGTTGACTTCTTGTATCAAGAGTTTAACAAGGAGATCGAAAAGGGCGACACCTATCCCCAGTTGAACCAGCTGACCCGCACCGAATTCACGGATTACTGGTTTGGCGCATTCACTGCGATCCTGTTCGACGGCACCGATGTCTCCTTGACTCCAGCCACCAAATGGGAAGAGGTGGTGCTTGGTACCTACTACATCAAACCAAACTACGTGGGCAGATGCTCCCACAACTGCAATGCTGGGTTCCTCGTCAACCCACGCTTCAGAGGAAAGAGCATTGGCAAGGCACTGGGCGGCTCGTATCTCAAGTGGGCCCCAATATTGGGGTACACCTACTCCGTGTTCAACCTCGTGTTTGTTACAAACGTTGCAAGCGTGAAGATCTGGGACTCCTTGGGCTTCGATAGAATCGGCTATCTCAAGAACGCCGGCATCCTGAAGGGCCACGAGACACCAGTCGATGCCATCCTGTTCGGCAAGGACCTCTGAGCCATTGCAATCTCTGATTAGAATGTATTTGTTATATAAACGATGATGTTGCCTTCCTGTAGCGGGAACCAAAGCTGTTTTGGCGGAAGGGAGGGAAAAAGTTAGCGAAGAGGGCAAAAAAAATGTAAACAAACAGAAAAGAACACACAAACAGCACAGTGTAAACAAAGCCAGAACAAAAGAGGGTGCCCATAGTGAAGAATACCGTCTTGTTGTCCACGAGTAGTTGCTGCCAAACAGATTCACAAGGTGGTGACGTATAATCATCTCTGTTTCTTCTCTGCTGAGGCCGTCGCGTTGTATGGAGCGTTCGTTATTGGGACTTATCAACAAACACACTCTCTGTTTACAGGCTTTCCAATCCACGCCGTCTGAACACCTCGCCCTCTGAACACCTCGCCAACCATGTCTGCGCCTCTTCTGAAGCTCTCAGAGTACCGACCAGATCAACACTTCACGGTTCTGATACCGCCGTACACGGTGTTGTTGAGAGATGGTGAAACAACAGCCACCATCTATCCAATCCATAGCGCTGATCAGCTCCCGCCTGGGCTATTGGCGTTCCTAGCGGATGAGTTCAACATGGAGGTTGAGCGTGGTGACACGTTCCCATTCTTTGACACTCTGGACATCGAAGAGTTCAAGACTTACTGGTTTGGCTCCTTTGCTGCCGTGATGGTTTTGGGTGATGACGTTCAGCTGGACCACCAGAGGCAGTGGGAAAAGGAATGTCTGGGTACTTTCTTCATTAGAAATAACTTCCCTGGACGCAGTTCACATATATGCACGGGTGGATTCTTGGTTAATGCTGGTATTAGGGGTAAGGGCATTGGAAGAACCCTTGTTGAGTGTTTCCTGGATTGGGCACCAAAATTGGGGTATACCTCTTCCATCTTCAACTTGGTTTTCGAACCAAACGTTGGGGCAAGAAAGATCTTTGAGTCCTTGAACTTCAAGAGAATCGGTAAGATCAAAGCTGCTGGTATATTGAAAGAACACGAGAACGCCGTCGACGCGATCATTTATGGTAAAGAATTTGTTCATACCGTGGAATCAAATCAAAATACCTATCGGTTCGACAAGATCAAATACTACTTGGAAACTGGAAGGTATCCACCACTTATGGACCGTCAGGATAAATCAAGATTGAGAGCTTCAGCGTCCCACTACAAATTACTTGATGGTCGACTATTCTTAAAAGGCCGTGAAGTTATAAGTGACCCAAGCCGTCAGTTGGAGATCAGCTCCGAGTACCACAGGGCTGGACACGGTGGTATAAATAAGGTGACCGCTGCTATAGTGGAACGTTACCATTGGCCAAGGATTAAAGATACTGTGGCTCAGGCTATAAGGAACTGCACTGAATGCAGAGATCCAACAAAGACTCCAAAGAGAAAGAAAGACGATCACCCACCAAAATCACACAAGAACACTTCGGAAGATTTGATACCTGACGGTCAAATAGATGATGTTGATGATGATCGTCAACGTCATCATAACCACCATCAGGAATATAGCAGAATAGTTGCATCGACAAGTCATATACAACGAGCCGATGCAAACTTGTTGCAGGACGATCTTACAAACCTCAACGATCCTTCTGGAATTCTCGCTGCAGTTGAAGATGCACATAGACGTCAGATACAACATCAGGAGCATTCCAGTTCTCAACACCATACACCAAATACTGCAAGTGCAACTCCGCAATCTTATGTCAATGCAGCGTTACAATCAAAAGACGTTGCCAACTATAGACCATATGATGAACAAATTCACCAACAACAACAGCAGAGGCTGAGGCAATTCTCTAATCAAAGCTCGTTCATACAAGCACAGCAACAAACCTCCTCATCGCCACACCAACAACAACCACAGCAGCACTCACAACAGCAGCCCCAACAGTCACAGCAGCAACATCCAGAACCAGATATCCCTGTGGATCCTGAAGTAAGTGCATTCGATACTCATCAACAGAATGGAGAAGAGATTGAAATTGCAAGAGCTCTGATACAAGCCAATGAAGATCCAGAACAGAGTAATGAAGATGTGTTCAGATGAGAGACTTTAAAGGCAGATGTGCCAAACACATACATAGTAACACAATATCACAGTTACTTCTTGTCTACTTTAAACCACCACTTAAAAACTAATTACAAATCTGTGTTTTCGTTTAAAAACCTCTAATTAAAACAAATATTGATCTTTCATATGCTCTCTATTCTGGATTTCGTGAAACGTTTTCTGCCTTGATGTTGTGAGACAGTAAACAAGAACTCTGTCTCCAAACAAAGTACTAAACAAGAGTGGTCTCCAGTCACTCTTGTAACATCTCTCATTAACACGGGGCAAAAGACAAAAACAAATTAACAATCCAAAATATCAAGATTAGAAGTCAACTCCAATGACCATAGCAAGAAGAGCCATTCTGATGAACAAACCATATCTCATCTGTCTGAAGTATGCAGCTCTTTGGTCAAAGTCAACTTCCTCTCTAATCTCGTTAACACGTGGCAATGGGTGCATAACAGCCATGTGCTTCTTAGCAGAAGAGAGAATCTTGTTGTCAACGATGTATGTATCTTTGAGTCTCTCGTATTGGGCTGGGTCAGCAAAGCGTTCCTGTTGAACTCTTGTACAGTACAGGATATCAGACTTTGCAATAATGTCCTTGGTCAATTCCTCAGACTCAACGGCAAGCATGCCCTTAGCCTTGAGCTCCTCTCTGATCCCTTCTGGCAAACGCAACTCCTTTGGAGCAACCAAGTTAACACGAACTTGGTATAAACCAAGCAAGTGGCACAATGAGTGGACAGTACGACCGTACTTCAAGTCACCCATAAATGTGACAGTGATACCGTTAACAGTACCAAGTTCCTCACGGATTGTGAACAGATCCAAGAATGCTTGTGTTGGATGCTCACGGGAACCGTTACCACCGTTCAGAATTGGAACTGGGGAGAACTTGGCAGCAATATCAGCAGATGACTCCTCTGGATGGCGCAAGACAATGGCATCGGAATATGAAGCAAGGGTTCTAATAGTATCCTGTAAAGTTTCTCCCTTCTTAACAGATGAAGCAGCAGCAGAGACGGCAATGGTCTTACCACCAAGTCTTTGCATAGCAGCATCAAATGAAGATGCAGTACGAGTAGATGGTTCGTAGAACATCGTAGTCAACAAACGACCTTGCAAGATATCAAGAACACCTTGTCTCTCGACACCCAATCTCATCTCTTGAGCAACAGCGAACAAAGCATGCAAATCAGAACGACTAACGTTTTGTACAGACAAGATAGAACGACGCAAGAATGGGTTGTTGCTACGTATGAACGTAGCAAGAGCACTTGGTGGTAACAACTCTCTTGGTGGACGTGAAGAAACAAGCTCTGTTCCCTTGACTTCTGGTCCCTTTTCCTCAACAAGTGGAGCACGGGTGGCTTCGCTTGCAGAGAATGAGAATCTGGCCTTTCTGTGGGTCTGAGGTGTTTGTTCTATAGCAGTTGTTGTTTGGACTATAGAGTTACCTCTCTTCTTGTAAGATGAGTTGTCAACACCAAGAGCCTGGTTGACGATCAAATCTCCCTCCAAGCACACAGTTTGGTCATAGAATTGAACACGTTCAACACCACCCTTTAATTTGCCCTCAAATGGTGACCAAGTTGAGGAAACATGCAATGTGGACAACTCACGATCCAAGTCAATCTCGACAACTGAATCTTGCTCTGGCAAGTTGAAGATCTCGACAGGCTTGGTATACAAACGCTCGATAATATCAGCAACTGTCAAACGGCCATCGTCAACAGCCGAGAACAACAGTGGAAGGGCATCTGGAATACCAACACCTGCGGTGGCTGGCTTGCCCAAGAATGATGCCAACAAGTTTGGAATGATACCGACAGAGAATACGTCAATGATGTCTAAGTTCTCCCAGAGAGCAGTCTGAGCTTTCTTTGTTGGCAAGAATGAAGCTTCTGGGTATTCATCTTGAGACAAGAACAAGGAATAGATTGAAACATCGAATGTGACTAGAGAAGATTTCTCCTTGACTAACTTGATCATATACAAGTCAGCCTTGCTGTTAACACCAGTAACATGGATGTTTCTGTTGTTCAAGGTAGCCAACAACAACAAAGATGCCAATTCAGTGGATTTAGCATCAGTGATGATTGGCTTGTTTGATGGCCATTCAGCAAAGAGAGAAGTCACATCAGAGACATTGCTCTTAAGGAACTTGTTGAACGACAAGAACAATGACGCAACTGATGAAGAAGCTTGAATAGCTTGAGCTTCATTGTCTTTTGTAGCAGCAAATGATAAGCTGTAATCTGTGTAACCAGCGTTGGACAATGCAGTGGTAATAGCATTCAAAGTCTGGACATCAGAGATGGCAGCACCATTTTGAGAAATTGGCAAGACATGGTTGTAAGTAAAACCAGAGGACAAGGACAATTTAGTCAACTCCTCAAATGAAGAAGATGACTCAAACGATGGAACAAATGAGGATACGTTAATGAGACCTGGAGTTGTAATGATTCTGTGGGAAGTTTGAGCATCTCTGCTAGAAACATCAAGAGAGATGTTTCTAGACAAGGCCTCGATCAACAACTTCGCACACTTGACGTTGGTCACTAATGGCACGGCATAATCAACAGCCATACGACGAGTTCTGTAACCCTTTGAGACGTAGTTAGCAGGACGGCGGAATCTGTTGGAAGATGGCAAGTTAATGTACAAGTCAATCATGTTATTGGCCAAATGCTGAGTCAAGGAATACTCGGATTTCTGTTCATCATCTTCCTCATTCAAGATCTCCAAGAACTTAACTGGAACATCATGCTCCTTGATAAAATCAGCAGTACCTGCGGTTGCAAACAAGTTGTAGCCCATCTCGTACAATTTCTTGATGGATGGCATTAATTCTTGCTTTTCCTTGAAGGAGCCAATGGACAACAAAATGTTCTTCTTTGGTAACTGGAATCCGGTAGCGATCAAGGACTTCAAGTAAGCTTCGTACTTGTTGTGACCAAAAGTGGCAACCTCACCTGTTGATGCCATCTCAACACCAAGAATTGGATCAGCACCAGACAAACGGGAGAATGAGAATTGAGGAACCTTGATACCACAGTAATCTGGTGGTAAATCTTGGGTTGGGTAGGCTTCAACTGGGAACCCCATGATGGCCTTAGTGGCCATTTCAATCATGTTGGTACCAACAACCTTGGAAATGAATGGGTAGGAACGAGAAGCACGAACGTTACACTCAATCACCTTGATATCGTTGTTCTTTGCGATGAACTGGATGTTGTATGGACCTGTGATGTTCAAAGCCTTACCAATCTTAGCAGTAGCCACAACAATACGTTTGACGGTTTCTGGGTCCAAGTCTTGTGGTGGAACAATCAGAGTAGCATCACCGGAGTGAACACCAGCATTCTCAACGTGTTCAGAAACAACATGCATGATCAGTTCACCATCCTTAGCAACGGCATCCATCTCGATTTCCTTTGCGTTCTCGATGTACTTAGTAATAACAACTGGATAGTCACGAGACACTTCAACTGCTTGGGCCAGGTATGAAGCCAAATCATCCTTGGAGTAAACAGTGTTCATAGCAGCACCGGAAAGAACATAAGATGGACGAACCAAAACTGGGTAACCAACATCTGCGGCAAAGCCTTCGGCCTCGTCTATGGAGGTCAGTTCCTTCCATGCTGGTTGATCAACACCAATGTTATCCAACATACGAGAGAACTTGTAACGGTTTTCAGCTGAATCAATCATCTCTGGGGAAGTACCCAAGATCTTGACACCGTTTCTGTGCAATTCCAAAGCAATGTTGTTAGAAGTTTGACCACCCATGGAAATGACGACACCAGCAGATTGCTCGATCTCGTAGATATCCAAGATACGCTCCAAGTTGATAGTCTCAAAGTACAATCTATCAGCTTCATCGTAATCAGTGGAGACGGTCTCTGGATTGTAGTTGACCATGATGGTCTTGGTACCACTTAGACGCAAGGTTCTAACAGCAGTCACAGCACACCAGTCGAATTCGACAGAAGAACCAATACGGTAGACACCAGAACCCAAGACCATAACACCATGGTCATCGAAAGTGACATCGGAAGAATCAGCATTGTAAGTGATGTATAGGTAGTTGGTGTAAGCTGGGAACTCTGCAGCAACGGTATCAATCTGTTTAACGAATGGAACAATACCAAACTCCTTTCTCAATCTTCTAATGGCAACTTCGTTGGAATCAACAAACTTGGCGATTTGTCTGTCCTCAAAGCCAAGTTGCTTGGCTTCACGGATAACCAATGGAGTAAGCTTCTCCTTGGATCCGAAGGACTCCAAGTAGCCAGCAAACTGGATCAAACCATGCAACTTGTTCAAGAACCATTTGTCAATGTTGGTCATGTTCCAGATCTTGTCGACAGAGTAGCCGGAATGCAAGGCGTTGGCAATGGCGAACAAACGTTGGTCAGAAGGAGTTTGCAATTCAGAGTCAATGTCGATGGACATGAGAGCTGGTGTGTGGTTGAAACCCAAGTTTTGATAGTCAACAGAACGGATGGCCTTCTGAATAGCCTCCTCAAAAGTTCTACCAATAGACATGACCTCACCGACAGATTTCATAGAGGAAGACAAAAGAGTGGAAACTCTCGTGAACTTCTTCAAATCCCATCTAGGAATCTTAACAACGACGTAATCCAAAGAAGGCTCGAAACAAGCGCATGTAACCTTGGTGACAGAGTTCTTAACTTCATTCAATGGAATGTTCAAACCAAGCTTGGCAGCAATGAAGGCCAATGGGTAACCAGTAGCCTTGGAAGCCAAAGCAGAAGAACGGGACAAACGGGCGTTGACCTCAATGATACAGTACTCCTTTGAGAATGGGTTGAGTGCATATTGGATATTACATTCACCAACAACACCCAAGTGTCTGATGACATTGACAGCAGTAGTTCTCAACATGTTGTAGTCCTCATCAGACAAAGTTTGAGATGGAGCGACAACAATGGAGTCACCAGTGTGGATACCCAATGGATCAAAGTTCTCCATGTTACAGACAGTAATACAGTTGTCAAAGGCATCACGGACAACTTCATACTCGATTTCTTTCCAGCCCTTCATAGATCTCTCAACAAGGACTTGTGGAGATGCGGCAAAGGCCTTGTTACAAAGCTCGATCAACTCTTCTTCATTGTCAGCGAAACCAGAACCAAGACCACCAAGAGCATAGGCAGCACGGACAATAACTGGGAATCCAATCTCCTTGACGGCTGCCAAAGCCTCTTCAACGGAACTGGCAGATTGAGACTTAGCACACTTCTCACCAATCTCCTCCATGGCCTTTGCGAACAAATCACGGTCTTCGGTGGTGATGACAGTGTCAATCTGGGTACCAAGAACCTTGACACCGAGACCTTCAAATTCATCCTTCATCTCGATACCAACAGACAAAGCAGTTTGACCACCAAAAGTACAGTAAATGGCATCCGGTTTCTCGTGGAGAATCACCTTTCTCACGAATTCAGCAGTAACTGGAAGGAAGTACACCTTATCAGCCAAACCCTTAGATGTTTGAATAGTGGCAATGTTAGGGTTGATCAAGATGGTGTAAATACCTTCCTCTTTCAAAGCCTTAATAGCCTGGGAACCAGAGTAATCGAACTCACCAGCTTGACCAATGGACAAACCACCTGAACCCAAAACCAAAACCTTCTTTGGTTGAACTCTTGGGTGAGCAGCCAAGTTTTCAGCAACCTTACCACCTGGGAACTCAACAGCCTTCAATGTCTTTGTTGTCTTGTGTTCCAAAACAGACTTAATGAAGACATCAAACAAGAACTCAGTGTCCCTTGGACCTGGTGTAGATTCTGGGTGGAATTGAACGGAGAAGTATGGCAAATCGGTATGATAAATACCTTCATTAGAACCATCATTGGCATTCACAAACAATTCCTTCCAACCGTTGGCCAATGTAGTGGTATCAACGGCGAAACCGTGGTTTTGGGAAGTGATGTAACAACGACCAGAGATTGTGGAAGTACAAGGGATGTTGTGACCTCTGTTACCAAACTTGAGCTTCAATGTAGAGGCACCGGTGGCTCTAGCGAGCAATTGATGACCCAAACAGATACCAAAGACTGGAGTCTTCTTGGAAGCCAAGATCGTGGACAGTTGTTCAACCAAGCTATCCATAACAGATGGATCACCTGGACCGTTGGAGACGAACAAACCATCATACTCTTCGCTGATCAGATCGTGGTCGTGAGGGACAACTTTCAACTCGACACCACGTCTAACAAAACAACGGATTTGGTTGTACTTCATACCTACATCCACAGCGACAATTCTCAGAGTCTTGCCATCTGGGCCCTTCACAGCCTTGTCTGGGGATGGGGTGTAAAGAACTGGCTTCTTAGTGCTGACCTTAGCAACCAAGTTCTTAACGTTTGGATCATCCCATTCTGGGATCTGGAAGTGGCTTTGCCAGTTCTCAGAGGAGGCCTCCTCAACTGAACAAGCATCAGATTGGAGACTGATACGGCCCAACATGGAACCACACTCACGCAAGTGCTTGGTCAATGCTCTTGTGTCGACACCATAAACAGCTGGGATGTTCTGTTCCTTCAACCATTGACCCAATGAAGACTTTGCCAAGTAGTGAGAGTACTCCTCTGTGTAATGAGCAACAATCAAACCAGCAATGTGGATTCTGTTGGATTCAAAGTACTTTGGCAACTGTGGAACGTCTTCATCCTTGAGCTCACGGTCAGGAACACCATAGTTACCAACAAGTGGGTAAGTGATCACCAAGATTTGACCCTCATAAGAAGGGTCTGTGATGGCTTCTGGATAGCCAACCATACCGGTCTGGAAGACAAGCTCACCGGCAGCTGGAGTCTCAGAACCGAAAGAGTAACCTTGAACGATGGTTCCATCTTTCAATTCAAGAGACATGAGGCGGTTGCCAGTGGACTCCATAGGTGGAGAAATTGGAGCAGAAGGTGCCATGGTTTATTTTGTGTTTGTTCTTCGCTTAAATGCTAGTTTAATGATGTTAGTCTTCAACAGGCGTTTCATAATGGCTCAGGGTCCACTTGTTGTCTACAATGTGAAGATGTTGCCGTTCCATGGATGGAGGTGTTTTTTTATTGAGGATTGAGCACTACGCTCAATTCTTCTCTCGTCTTCTTCTCTCATAGTAGGCAACATCCCACATCGTTTGACATCACTTTCCAGGACCCAGACCTCAAACACATCGCCATCTTGTCCCTCCGTCAGGAGGAGGGCATAGATGGGACGCATCGACAAGCTGGACACTCACAATATCAAGCAGAAAAAACTCCCTATTTGCAAAAGACAAAGGATTCAATCAAAGAGCTGGAGACTAGATAAGTGAAAACCTTTTTGGATAAACTTCTTGTAGAGACTGTTGATGAAACTTGCGATGGAATAAAAAGGATGGAAATTTTTCTGGAGACAAGATTTCCTTTCTATAACGTAAGTGACTCAATAGTTCAAGTGTCTTTCTTGCAAAAGTTATGTTTTCCTCCCTTTCAGTGGAACAAGAGAGTGCTTTTCTGAGAGAAGAAGAAGAAGAAGAGAGAGAGAGAGAGAGGAAGAGAGAAGGAAGAAAAGAAGAAAGAGAGGAGAGGAAAAGGGAAGAGATGAGCTTTTTTGTATGATCGAGACATAAAAAAATTTTTTTTTCTTTGCGCCAGGAAAATTTTACCTTGCGCCGATTTGCGCAAAGGGGATTTTTCCGTTCGCAAATGTCCAAAAGAGAGACAAAACAGGAAGAATAGCATACATCTAAAGCCTTGTTATACATGCACAAGCTCTTCCATTGAAGGGGAATACCTCCTGTTTTCCAGTGCTTACAAGATGTGAGCCCACGGTCTCTGACCTCCGATGTGTTGTGCGATGGTCGCTCAAGTCGTCTGAACAGAACAACGAGCCCTAACCGTCTGTCCCAAAGCGGTTCCCGTAAATTTGTCGCTCTACGTCACCGTTTATGTCAACCGAATTGCAGTGCTAATTACCCGTTTGGGCATCGAGTTGCGCAGACAGACAACCGTGTGTACTTCTCAGCACTGAAACATGATGAAGAGCCCACTAATCAATCCTACCGCTCTGTGCCCGACGCCCGCTCCAGTGTGTCATGGACTGTGTCACCGGCTATGTCATGGGCTATGTCACTCACCACACATCGGTTCTCCATCACTTTCGCAGGTGTTTCTGCTACGGGAGTCGGCCTCGCCAGCCTGCGTAGGCCCAGTCCGTCCATCATCACCGCTGCTGCGCTTAAGCCCGTAGAGAGAGCGAGGCAGAGAGAGACGGTGTACGTGGGCTACTCAGCCGAAGAATACATGTGGTTTGTAGAGAAGACGAAAAGGAAAGCCGCCAAAGTACTTAGAATAACGTAAAACTACTTCAAATCAAACTGCCTAAAGACGGACCACAGAGACAACGGCGGCTACAGCCACCACGTTTTTCTGTAGTGTTCCAGCTTGTTCTCTGGAGAAAACACAGGAGGAAAACTTTTTCTCTGTACTTGTTGCCGTAGTGACGTTGGGAAAAGGCACAGAAATCACACAGCATCGCATCTTTAGGCGGAGAGAAAACCATCAACACCGTGAAATTTGAGTCTGTGCCACAAAAACTGGGAGCGGACATTTACAACCACAAAACAAGCAAAATCCAGCTTCACTGAAAGACCTCCTACGAAGCACGGAGAGAAAGAGAGGCGGCGCCGTTCAATCAGAGCGTCTCGACTGTACACAGAAGTTGCTTCCTTTCAGCGAGGGAATCCACTTCCTTTTGGCCACAACAGCGCCCTGCCCAGAGAAGAGCTTCAGAGAAGAGCATAAGACGAACAGGTGGGGATGTCGTGGTTCTCCCGCCTGCGACAGAGGCCAAACACGAGGAGATTCCTCTCCGCCCAGACACTATCAACACTGCACGTGAAGAAGACCATTGGCTGGAAGCTGAGAGACGCAGCTGGCGCCGTTGAGGAGAAGATAGGCCCGTACGTCAAGAAGGTCATCCCGTCCTTTGTCGCTGCACACTACGTCTACATCATCTCGATGGTGATACTGAGCTCGATAGTGCTGTACCCTGTTAAGAACGCCCCCTACATTGACATTCTCTTCTTTGCAAGCGGGTCGTCGACCCAGGCCGGGCTGAATACCATCGACCTGAACAATATGAAGCTGTACCAACAGATTACCATCTATATCGTTTGTATGCTAACAACGCCCATTTTCATCCATGGATCGCTCTGTGTGCTGCGTCTATACTGGTTTGAACGGTATTTCGATAACATCAGGGTCAAATCCAAGCTGAACTTCCAAATGAGAAGAACCGCAACTTTAGCTGCCAGAACCCAAACAATGGACAGATTTCGCAGTATGGATTCAACGGTGCCTTTTACAAACCGGCAGAAGGAGGACCTTCACAAGATTGTGGACTCTTCGTCATCATCAGATATCGCACCAATGGATCCCACTGCCTTCACACAATCTGCTATGGATCTACATAGAGACGCACAGGTGACCCACGAATCTGAACCTTCTTCATCTGATGAAGAAAGGGTATCGCCAGAGGATAGACAGGTCAAATACTCCAAATCTGATGACGATGGCAATGATAATAACGGTATTAGATCTGGAATCAATAACATCAAGTTTGGGTCCCTTCCAAAGCCTAAAAGAGAGCAGTTCGAACCAACGGATGTTATGATGTCCATCAAAATGATGAGAGACAAACCACAAGAAGATGACGATGAAGATGATGAGAATGGTCCTGTATTGGTGGTTAAAGGTCCTGCTGAGAGGGAAAGCTCAAAGCATAACAGAACTAACTCTCAGGTGCAGTTTTCTTTACAAAAGCCTAAGAAGATGAGAAAAAGGTCTGGTCTGAGAAGAAGTTTCACTAATCGTAACTCTATCTCGGAGTCTGCAGACACAAGTGATGCTGAGAGCCAAAGAAACTTTTTACAAAGAGCCCAATCACATCTCCAATTACCATCATCTGATTTGAGTGGAGGTGCTAAGTTTGTTAAGAGATCAAACACCTTGGACCCAAGTAACGATGAAGAAGCTCAGATGGGATTCACACCAGCATTTGATCGGATAAAGAACAAGCTTCCGAGAGGCTTGAGGAGAAGACTTTCTTCAAACACATTTGACAATACATCTCAAGTCCTAGACACGTCTGCATCTGATACAGAAGAAGATGACGAGGAAGATGATTCGGACAACAACTCAGACCATGCTCTGAGGAGACAAATGTCCGCTCCGTATCTCTCGTGGGCCCCAACAGTTGGCAGAAACTCAACCTTTGTTAATCTTTCTCAGCAGCAGAAGGAGGAACTTGGTGGTGTTGAATACAGAGCTACAAAACTCCTTATTAAAATCATTTCCGTTTACTACGTGGGGTTTCACATTCTTGGCTTTATCTTTTTGGTTCCTTGGATTTTACACACACCTAGATATCAGACCCCAGTAAGGGAATCTGGAACTTCTTTAACGTGGTGGGGATTCTTCACGAGTATGTCAGCATTCAATGATTTGGGTTTTACCCTTACTCCAAACTCTATGGGATCTTTCAACACTTCACCATATGCCTTACTTATTACATCATTTTTCATCGTCATTGGTAACACAGGGTTCCCTATTCTTCTGAGATTCATTATATGGGTGATGTTTAAATTCTCTGAAGACCTGTCTCAAACTAAGGAGTCGTTGGGTTTTTTACTCGACCATCCACGTCGTTGTTTTACATTGTTGTTTCCGAGTGGACCAACCTGGTGGTTATTCTTCATTCTTGTTCTTCTTAACGCTGTGGATCTTATCCTCTTCATTATTCTGGATATTAATGCTGAGGTTGTGGAGGAGCTAACTACGGGTCAAAAGGTTCTTGATGGATTTTTCCAAGCCATTAGTACCAGAACTGCTGGTTTCACTTGTATTGACCTTTCAAGCCTCCATCCTGCTGTTCAAGTCAGCTATATGGTGATGATGTATATATCCGTTATGCCATTGGCTATCTCTATTAGAAGAACTAACGTTTATGAGGAACAATCCCTTGGTGTCTATGGTAAACAAACGGAGGAGGATGGTGATGAAAGAAAAGCCACCTCATTTATTGGTGCGCATTTGAGAAAGCAGTTGTCTTTTGACTTGTGGTTTGTGTTTCTAGGTTTATTTATCATTTGTATCGCTGAAGGTGGAAAGATTCAAAACCCTTTAGAGCCTTCTTTCAACATCTTTTCGTGTATGTTTGAAGTTGTGTCAGCATATGGTACAGTGGGACTCTCGTTAGGATACCCAGGGACAAACCAGTCATTCTCTGGAAAGTTCGATACCATTTCAAAACTTGTTATAATCGCAATGATGATAAGAGGTCGTCACAGAGGTTTACCTTATGCTCTTGATCGTGCTATTATGCTTCCATCTGCGCAAATGGATGCCAGAGATAGATACCAAGATTTACACGCAGGCCATACTATTCAACGTTCAGAAACGATGGGCTCAAGTACAGATCCTGTGATAGAATTCCTCAAAGGAGCAGCACCAACTTTCATGAGGAAGAACATGAAGGTTCCAAAGCTGTTCACTTCAAAGTCCCAACCTAGTGTTGTCCCAAGTCGTCATGCCTCCACATCAGAACTTCCTCCTCAATCTCCTGGAAGACGGTCTACAGAACCCATGCCAAGAAGAGGTAGTGAATCGTACTTCAAAAACATCCACTTTGGCCACAGCTCTGAGCAGTACTTTGATAAAGATATTAATTTGTCACCAGTTAACACAAATCAGAACGTTCCACAAGTCGAATTACAAAACATGGAGACTAGTAACAATGGTGAACAGTCCGTTGCTTCTTCAAGGACTGATGATGATGAGTCCATTGCACTAAGGCTGGATTCTCCAGCTCATGATCTCCATGTTTCAGAAACTGCAATAACATCTCCAGTAACTGACGAGGTTGACAGGAGGGGCTCTATTTATACCCTATGACGGTTTTGTATTTCTCTTTGTTTGTTTGTTTTTTTTTTGATTGTTCATACTCTTTTTCTAACTATTATATATAGAGGATGGGAATCCCTCAATTGGAGTTTTTCATGCTATACTATGCTTAGGTGCCAGAACATGTCCACCAACTTCTTGTAGCCACGACAGTTCAATTGCACTCACATTACGTGCGTAACCCTTTGTCGTATAAACGAAGTCTGTATACATGATTGCATCATTCTTTTTACCAAACATCAGAGAAGATGGATGAACAGAAATGAGTTGCCCTGATGTCGTTGTTCTATAAGATCTATCAGGCATACCAATTGCCGTATTTGACACATACCCTGAGAGGAACGCCTTCAATACTGATGGAATATCCAATGGTTTCTTCTCCTTCTCCTCATCAAATAGGTGCTTGTCCTTTGTGAGAGACACCATGTATTGTCTGATCTGGTTTCTCACCCTCATCACATTTTTGAAGCCTCTATGAGACAGGGCGAGGTCATGACACCATTGCTTTCTCTCTTGGGAGTTATCAAACTGTAAGTAGAAATCTAGGAGCTCTTTCAGCATCAAAAGATCACCGTATTTGGCTCCTAGTATACATAAGCTTCTTCTCTTTTCATTGACCTCGTCACGGGTTTCACTTGGTGGGTTCAGGATTAAATTATCGACCGAAAGACATGAAACAATATCAACTGCATCTGATAGGCAGCCCGATTTATGGGCTGTGAGTAGGATAGCCGACAGCTGGGGTTCTAACGGTAAGATAGCCATCTGCTCGCCTAGCTCTGTGATCTTTCCGTTATCATCAAGAGCTTTTAACTCATGTAATTGGGTTAATGCAGAAATCAAAGAGTCTTGACCTGGGTTTTGTAGCCAAGACCAATTTAGAATATCATCAACACCAGCTCTTTTCAACATCAAAACTGGAGAAACAACATTAGATCTTCCAATTTCCGGTTCTGTCATTGCAGGAAGTTTCATGAAATCATCCTCGGTATAGAGTCTAAACGTTTTCCCTTCTGCTTCACGACCTGCTCTACCAGCTCTCTGAGTTGCTGAGGCCTTTGATACTGGAGCTGTTAACAATGTCGAAAGTCCCAGTTGATGTCTCCAAACTTTGACCTTTCGTAAGCCTGTGTCTATGACGTATCTCACACCAGGGACAGTAACAGAGGTTTCTGCGATGTTGGTTGCCAGAATTACTTTACGTCTTCTAGCTTTCAAAGGCAAGAAGACCTTCGCCTGGTCTGCTGGTGGCAACGATGCATAAAGAGGTAACGGAACAATTAGTGGTGCCTCTTTTGGTAACTCGGGTGCCAATCTTTCTAAGAGAGAGACACACTTGTCGATTTCTTCCTGACCTGGGAGAAACACAAGAATGTCACCTTCAAGCTCACCATTATTCACCTGGATGATTGTCTTTATTGTCGAGTCAACAACGTCATCAACAGATTTCTCTAAATACAATTTCTCCACTTTAAACATACGACCTTCAACAAAGAGAATATCAGCATTATCAAAGAATTTCGAGAATCTCTCTGCATCTAGTGTAGCAGACATGATGATTACTTTCAAGTCTTTTCGCTTTTGCAGTAGCTCTTTCAAAAACCCCATCATAAGATCTGTAAGCACTGTTCTCTCATGAGCTTCATCAATTATCACTGTCGAGTACTGGCTCAATGATGAGTCTATCATGATTTCTCTCAAGATCATACCATCTGTGAGGTACTTAATCTTTGTACCGTACTTGGCCTTATGGTCGAATCTCACAGAGTAGCCCACCTTGTCACCTAACGTTGTACCCACTTCCTCTGCGACTCTTGTTGCCAAACTAATGGCTGCAACACGACGAGGTTGTGTAACTGCAATGGACTTCTTATTCAATGGCATCAAAAACTGTGGAATTTGGGTAGACTTACCGGAACCAGTTTCACCGATGAGTACAGTGACTCTGCTGTTCGCCAATCTTTCCAGCAGCTCATCCTTGGCTTTGTAAACAGGCAATGTCTTTCTAACTTCTAGAAGCTCTCTTGACTTTGCCTTCTGCTGGTCAAACGACAAAGCCTTCGAGCTTCGTTGCTGTTCCTCTTCATCATCACTGAAAAAGGTAACAGTCTTTGCGTCTGCAGCATGGCTCTTCTTTACTTTCTGCTTCTTCTTGCCAGCAGTCTGTGCCCATCTGGGAGCCGAACTCACCACTGCAGCTGATCCGTCACTTGGTTGAGTTCCATGAGCTTCGGCATCTTGGTCTTGCGGTTCAGCGTTATGAGACCTTGGTCTTTTCATGTGCGCACCTTTACCATGATCAGCATTATTACCATGATCAACATTATTCCCATTGGGCTTGTTCTCGCTGATAATCTGCGATTCATCATCATCAAACTTCCTATGAAGTTTCTGATTGTTGTTCCTCCTCATCTCTTACACACCCTGGCTCCAGAAGCACTTAGATCAGACTAAGAGAACGCAGTAGAGGCTCTAGAGAACTCTTGCAAAGCACACGTATAAAGCTCATCTCGAGAAGCCGTGGAAAATTTATCGAGAAGAGGTGGGAGCCCGCGAATATTTCCCGATACGGTTTGACACAAACTTCAACACACCTCGTCGCACTGTCTCAGCTTTCAACATCGACGTCTGATTTCGTGAGGCCCAGCGTTATCTTTGGTGTATGTTGCTGTTTGCTGTTTGTTGCTGTTTGTTGTTTGTTGCTGTTTGCTGTTTGTTCTTTGCTTTGTTGCAGTTTCATTGGGTTCTCTCTGTGTGTTTTTAGTGGTTTGGATACCGTCAAAGCGTTTGGCATTTGGAGGGTTCCAATTGGTGTTTGATAATGCAGTAATCTTGTGTTAAATGTGAAATGCTATTGTATAAATTAATGCCCTGTAGTAACTTTGTTAGTGTGCTTTACTGGTGTGTATGAAGATGCTGTGTAGTTCCTTGACTGGATAATGCTCTTGTGTATTTACTTGTATTAAAAACTTCAAACTAATGAGTGTAAGTTATATTAACTAAAAAACATCAAAATTAGAATCTCAAATAATGATAATTCTACACAAAATTCGTTTACAACACATACAAACCAGTGTATTTAAGATATTCACGCTATACATACGACCAAATGGCTAAAATTCATCATTTCAAAGGGATATTATAAGCACCAGTACACTTGTGGGTGTCTGGGTGTACACACACACCACAGCTGATCTTCATATCGGTGGTGATAACACGCACACAGGAAAGAAGCTGGAACCGTGTTCCACCAACCCTACAGGAGTAAGCCACTCAGCTGGCTGGCATATATCACGCTCCTTCTTCACACTCCAAGCACTGGCGTGTCACTGTAATCGTATACCCACCGGCCCCCCTACGCCAGCTGGATGTCCGGGTGTAGGTATGTCCGGATGTAGGTATGTCTGGGTGTAGGTATGTCCGGGTGTAGGGATGTCCAGGTGTGTGCCAAAAATAGAGCAACACAGAGAGCACGTCGGAAGGCTTTTTCAACCGGTTTCAACGTTGCTTCACGTCAAGTGGAGGCTGATTCTTTGTTATCAATTGGCACAATCCATTCTCAGTTCATCGTAAAATTCATAAGCAGGGTTTGGAAGGCACTGCCTGCAACTGTGAGAGAACTCCAGCCTAACGTGCAAAACCGTTGAAATTTAAGAGTTTTCCCGTGCCTGAAAGGAATTTTGGACGTGCATCTAAATTCTTCGTTTGTTTTCATTTCGCCTAATCCAATCTTTGCTCCTTTTCAGCAGTCTCATCGCAACAGAAGATACACTGGAACACGGTTGTTGAGGTGATACAAGGCCTGGCTTGACGTGTGTGACGAGGAGCGTAGGAGACATATCGCCATGGCATTCAGGGTGCGTCCAGCGACCACCATAGCTGTCATACTTGCAATATCGTTGGCATTCCAGATCATCGCCTTGGTATCAGTACCAGTGACGGATACAATATGGCTCAGCGAGTCAGGGGGAATCAAATTCGGAGTGTTTGGGATGTGTACCGACTCAGGATGCTCGTCTGCTGGTATTGGATATAGTACTGATACCATCCAGGATGTTGATAGCTTCTCACTGCCGTCGAATGCGAGACATTCAGTCTCGAAACTGCTAGTGGTACATCCTATAGCTGCAGGGTTCACATTCATCCTTTTTGTCTTTACAATAGCACTCCATTGGCATGGACCGGCTTCTTCACTCAAGCTGTTGTTCTTTGTACTGATATGGTCGATTCCGTGCTTCTTGCTAACGCTGCTTTCCTTCCTTGTTGATCTTTTGCTATTTGTACCGCATTTGAACTGGGCTGGCTGGCTCATACTCGCTGCAACTGTGCTAATTGCAATATCCAGTATTCTGATCTGTTTGCTGAGAAGAACAGCATCTTCTAGGAGATCGGCCTCTAAGTATAACAACGTGAATAGCGGTGCTGAGTACCAACTTGCTCCTTTGAAATATGGCTACGGAACTGTTGACGGTGGATCAGCCTACAAGTTCAGCACCTCATCGAACCAGAACGATGATGACGATGACGAAAGAGCCCTCTTCCTGAAGAACGACGTTTCCACGAATTACGACAATACGAGAAACTACGACGACTTGGATGATGTTGCACAGACTGAGATTTACGATACTATGAGAGGGAACGCTCAAAGTGCAACGAGTAACAACACTTACAGATCAAATGACATTCTTGCACCTCTGGAAACTGCTTATAAAGGTGGTTATGACTCTCCCCTGCAGGCTCACATGAACGACTCGGTGATTATGAATCAGTCTAGTAGTACAGAGCCAGTAACGGCACCTTATCCTTCAGGAATACCAGCAGTTGAGTTCTCTGAACTTCCATCAGCTCAAAGGGCTCCTTACCCACAAGATGATCTATTCACAACAACATCATCAACAACGAGGTTGACTGGTCCAAGGCCAATGCCGTCGTCGACTTCACCTCCAAATATAACAACACAGATAACCACGGCGACCCCACCGGCTCCTACAGAATTGCAGCAGAGATCAACTACATATGGTGGACCAGGTTGGACATTTCAAGAAAGCGACCCAGTGGAGCCAACTGCTCCTCCACTTGTCGTCAATGGTTCTGAATCGCAGAAAGATCTTTTGGCACCATTGTCAGATGTTACTAGGGAACCAACGTATAGAACAAGAATCGCCCAGACGTTAAACGCACTTCAACCAGAAGATACATATTCGACGGATAGTTTGGGAGAAAGTTCAGAAGATCTTCTGGGGAGACATAAGGACGATGAATTCTCTCATGGAGAAGAACAAGAGGTTGTCAAGTCTCAACACCCATTGGCTCTACAGATTGCGGATGATTCCTCATCCACATACTCTTCAAGAATTCCTTCAAATAACCCAACACCAACAAATACGGGCTTCCCACGTCGTCAACTATCTCTTCTACAAAGATCTCGTATCCCAGAGAATGCATCTGCCGGTGTGGCGGAGGGGCATTTCCCATCAACGTTCTATTCTCCTTCTGTTGACTCACCTTCGGAGTATTCATATGATAACTATCCATTACCTGATCCAAATGATCGTCGCTCAACACCGGCACCTTCATTCACCAATGAGTCACTAGGCTCGTCAAATTTCACCTCAGTTTCACAGCGTGGTATCAACCCGGAGTACCTAAAGCTACATCCAGAGGAATTACAGAGACAGATGTTTGGACGTGCTAAGAGCATTCAGGATCAGAACCAAAAATCTACAACAGCAGACCTTTTGATAGCTTCAAATCCAGATTTTTCAGTTACTGGTTCACCAAAGAAAAAGAAGATCAACAGAAACTTTTGATTTCAGTATTTATGACGGTTATGTACAGAGTAATATCAGTTCTTTGCAATATTCATGTGTTCAAATCTCCTCTAATGCCTTGATAAAATCACGTCTAGATTGTAAATCACGACCAGGGAAAGAGTTCTCAACCACGTCAATGTTCTTCATTTTGTATGAATTGACCTTTTTCTTCAAGCTTTCTACCTCCGTGGGTGTCAATTCAACTTGTGATAACAGTTGTCTCGGTAATATGAACAATCCACAGTTAACTTGATCAAATAAGATCAGCTTCTTGGTGTTTATGGATATGTTTTCAATGTGGGTTTGTAGGCGATGAATGATGGACATTTTTAAACTGGCATCTGATAATCTCACTGATTTTGAGGCGAACAACTTCTTAGCGACAGTGGCTTCCAGTTCTTGGAACACTTGGGGTATTTCACTTGGAGATGTTGATTCAACAAGATCTAATACGCTTGAAATCTCGTCAGGGTGTTCACAAAGCAGCAAAAGGTTGCGAGCACTATCTGTTGAAAGAGTTGAGAAGATGACACTCTGTAGTCCTTGTAGGAGCACCAAAGATTTGACATTGCTCTTCTTGTCATGGTAGTTCACCTTTTTAGCTAAAAGTGCTAGGTAGTTTGCCATGGTTTCTCTAGGTGGTGCGTACCCACAGCTTTGCAATTCGGTCAATATGTTGAAGGATAACTCAGGTTCCTTGGATGAGATCAAATTGTTCAAGTAGAGGGTCTTGAGCTCCAGATCATCCTCGACGATTGGATAATTGGTTGAAAGGCTTCTGTACACCAATTGAGTTAGTTGCAACAGCGAGTTTCTGGATTTCACCAACGATTCAAGTCTTGGTAGAAGACTCTTTGCAATATCCGTCGCAATTGTTGCATTGTCCACATGTACCATATAGTCTACTGCTGTCCGAGTTATATCATCAATATTTCCCGGAAGCGAATGCTGTTCAATGACAAGCCTCAACTTGAGATCATTAGTGAAAAGGTGATTGGAGGAGTTGGTAATCTTAGTATCGAGCAGAGTAGATAGGGTCTCCTTATTTACATCCCCCAACTCCGTCTCAACTTGGAGAATAACCTGCTCATCATATAGTAAGGGCTCAGCTGGCGACACTTCTATAACCTCTAGGCCGTAGAGCTCATCTGCATGGGAGTCAAGGAAACGTAGAAGGTCCTTATGCGTGCTGAACACGGCTTCGTTTGAGAAGACTTCTTCACCATTGGTCAGCGTTGCCTTATGGAGCACTGGGGTTTTCAGTTTCTTCTTTAAGAAACTGAGCAGTTTCGTCGTCTCCGACAATTGCAGGAAAGGATGAACTGGAACCCTCGTGGACTGTATTATGGTGGGCTCATTATGTGTCAGCTCATCGTTGTTCAACATCTTGATCGATGACGACGCCACCACAGTGGGCCCCTGGTACTTAGTACTGTTGCTCATGAAATCCAAGCTCTTTGTAGCTCTAACAACATGCTGCTGGGTACTCTTGACAACGTCTTTAAGCGTCATATCGTTCCCTGATGCCCGTCAATTGTGCCTTCTATTTACCAAAAATATCAATAGAAGTCATCGACGTCCAAAATGGAGAAAAAAAGCTCTGTGGGCCGCTCGGTTCTGGGTGTACAAGGTTTCCACGGCAACGGAAACCGACAACCCAGCTCTGGCTTCGGATTACATAATCGAGACTACCTGTGGACGTAAGTTGTGTGTATGCATGACGTCATATTATGCGTAGCACTTGTTGTCAGTTTATCCGAGAAGTTGTCCTCCCACGCGGGTTGGAGGTTGAAATATATCGCTCGATCATCAATGCCTCGAGGGACCGTTGTATAGCCTGTTTGCTTAGATGGATGAAATTGCACATTGACCAAGAGGCATTGTTCCTGAACAAGTGGCTTCAAGGCGTTTCATCTTTTCTTGGTAAATGGTCCACGGACCAGGGTGAAGCTTGAAGCGGAATGATGTCCCAACAGTTAGGACTTGCCTTGAGGAGTGCAAATGTCGTACAGTACTTGTTAACGAGGAGACATGAGGTGAGGTATCGTGGTTGTCCGCTTCTTGTTCTTAGGGTAGCTGAAATCATTGGAACTATGAACACAAGTATATACCAATTTGAGCACCATAGAGCGATATAGGCCTGAAGAGCTTGGTGCGTTGTTGGCATAGCTCGTCAGTGTGCGAAGAGTGTCTTTTAGCTACAGACATACTCAGCATTGCTAATGTAGTAAGGATGCGTGGCTTTTCTTCAGGAGCAGTGGTTCCATATCTCGTATGCGATCTAACATATTATAACTAAAAGATGTATCTGCCATGACGTTTAAACCAGAGAAAGAACCTGCTCGGTAATTGCACGCGTATCTCATTGAGAAGGGCGGAATCACGACCTTAAGTTGGCGCCTCTAATGTATGTCATCCGTATGCCGCGTACATATGATTTAATCAGAATGCAAATGTGTTAATGTTCATGTACACTGCAACAGGTTGTACCTTAAATGGACATAACACACCACTCATTCCACAACAGCCAATGACCACCAATGAATTCAACCCAAAAATCCAAATGTAGGTACATCACAGCAACACACATGCGACGTATGGGCAATAAGTAGCAATCCATATTTCCGCGCAGCTAGAGTCTCCAGATAATTTGGTACACACCAATGCACTTGTTGTCTACTAGCCATAGTGTTCGGGAACCCACTTTGTAACCAGCCATAGATCCCACGTATAAGATCTATAGTGATAAAGCTCGGTGTTTCACTCAGTACAATGCGCGTTTGAGCACCGATAGCATTGTAATCCAGATACAGAAACGTGATACGACACATCATGTTTCATATAGGTGTGATTTAAGCACACTAGCGTTGTCTGATCTTTCTTGAGATTGAACATGGAAGGTGGTGATCGGACTGGCGAATTCTTCAAAACTCTAATGGACTAGTACTGCAGGTTGTTGGGAAAGAGAAGTTTACCCCCACCTGCGATCTAAATTCTCGGTTTCTCACTAGCAGTGTACGTTGATATGGCTGGGGGGATAGGCATCTGAGTAAGCCCAGTAATCAATTAATCTCCAACTGCTTAGATACAGTGCTTTGCAATAATTACAAGCTAAAGTTGACTTTTCTTGTTCACGTCGGGAGAGATAAAAACTGCCAGGATCTAGAGTCTGTCGTTCCACACCTTGATAACATAAGCGGAGTAAGAACGAACTCCATGAATAATCATCGTACGGCAAAGTTTTTTTGTCCTGTGCATGATGAAATGTTTCGACATGTGCAAAGCGTTTGAACATGAGTACACCCACCTTCTCCAAGCTGGAGATGAGCAATCGATGACAGGTAACCAACGATGCTGGTTCCTGCTAACAGCATTTCGTGGTGAGTCCCTTCCTTTTCCATGGGTAATACCTCAACTGCTGCAATCCTGTAAGTACGTACAAGCTAGGCCACCCAACACTGTGTCCACCTATGTCAATGTACATACGCACTTTGGTCAAATGTTCGATACGAATAGCAGATTTCGGATACTTGAAGACAAACCTGCAACTGGAGATCGACCATGTATGCCCATGTACAGGGAGACCCAACTTACAACATCCGCATGGAACCCAAAAAACGATGTTGAAAAGATTTTCGAGGCTATAATTAGCAACCGTACGAACATTTCAACTGACTGCAGTGTAGTACATCGAACCTTGAACAAGAAGAGATCAGGATAATCGCTTGTGTGCTTTCTGATAACACTATCTCTCGCTTCATGTGATGCTTAGAAATGTGCACATATGTTCCACGAAACTTCTCACATGGTCTCTTCTTTCTGAAGCTTCAATCAGAAACCGCAAGCCTCAAGGGCGTGTAAATACCTCTTTCCAAGGCCTAAGATGCAAAATGCAGGTTGGGAACAAAATTTATTTGCGGTGTATATGTAGGTCCCACATCATACATGCAGATACTTCCAACTCGAAGGAAACAGCATTCAATAGGGACAAAAGTAACTTGAGTCCATTTATAGACCATTTTAATCATCTTTACTTTGGACATTAGCTTCTACAGGTATAGCGTGCTACTTGTGCCCGCCGATTGAGTGTTCAAATGGTTAATTATATCCACTAAGGCTGCCCTTTGCGTCGACGCATTTCCCGTTATCTCGACGGGGCCTGCTAGTGAGACCAGGGCGATCTGTAGAACTCAACGGTCCATATACCGGTAGAAATGTATAAATGAAGCTCTACCCTGCATTTTTCGTTTAGAGCGTTGTCCTCCCAACATTAGTAACAGCTGGTGTGAGGAGTTTAGAGCAGGACAACAACATCTGTTTACGCTAGTGTGTGTAGTTTCCGCAGTGATATTTGAACTTGGTCATCGATCTGTAAGTCGGCGTGGGATTTTGACACGTCTTTGGGGTGAAATTACTGACTGTTATTCTAGACAACTATTGCACAGCAGCTAACCAGCGTGGCACTTGGAGGTGTACATCAGCACAAGTTTAACAGTTTACAACGGCATTATTGAGCTTTTCTGCGGCAATTGAACAGCTCTATCCTCATCAAAGAGAACACAGGGATCAAGATCCGTCATTGATCAGCGAAGCTCAGCAGTTAACAGTTCAATTGTATAACGACGACAAACACTGTCGCGCACAGGTACAAAAGAAACGTCCCCAGTGATCACTAACTACGGCGTGGGTTCCGCTCAGCATCCATTCTTATCAGATCTGGCCATCATATCCAGAGTTCTCCATTCTTCGTCGACGTTCATCATCCGAGTGAACGTACACAACCCGTTCGCAAAATCACCACCGCTCGCACGACACTTCGGACCACAGAAGAAACGCCCTACACGCGAAACGAAGTAAGGGATCAACCACGCGATTCCATCGGCATAGAGAGCTAACCAACTGAGGCACTCTCTCAAAGGCAGAACTGAAGGACTAAGCCCCCCAACTCTCGGAGACACCACCGTATTTACAAAGCCCTAGTTTTAGAGTTTCCTAAGGCTTGACGTGGTTCACCTGGTTACACCACAGCGCAAAAAAAAACCACAGATCTTTCTAAGCGTTGTTTTTCGCACGTTTTTTTCTTTTTCGTGTGCAAATTTTTGGTGTTTCGGATTTACAAGCAAAGCTTCGAAAACCGCATTTCATAACCACAGTAAAAAGCAAAGGAAACACGGAAGCTGCAACCTCATAGCATTTCCATCTGAGACGGCAGACAGAGTTGTGAACCAAAAAAACATACACACATTTAGGATTCTTTTGTGATCCTCGGTTGCCTTTTTTCGAGTTTTGGTTGTTAAGTGAAGCGGAAGTTTGCGTTTGTTTATTTTGTGTGTGCATCGCTGTTTTTTATTGTGAGCTTTTATCAACGGAGGACGAGTAGCAAACCAGAAAACAGGAGGGGGTTTCCGTTCTTTTGATCAAGTGACATTCCATTTCCGAACCATTGCCGGTATATCACAGCCAGACATGCCGGATCAGACACCTTTGTCTCCAAGCAAGGAGCTTTCACGGTTGTCGTTGGAGGAAGTGCGCTCTCCAAGGGGATCTTATACCATCAATGCGGATATCCAGGCCCGGTTGATGGCATTTCAAGAACAGCGCCAGGCCAGTCGTTCATCGTCTTCGAACCATGTTGAGTCTGCGACGGTGTCGAGGAGTCAGGAGGATCTGAGCGCAGAGGCGGAGAGGGAGAGAGATAACTTCCAAAGGCAACAGCAGCTCCAACGGAAAAAGTCTCTACAGAGGAAACAACAGCAGGAGAAACCGCTACCGCCGCTACCACCGAAGGACTTGAAACTGGAGAAGCACGGTGTTGATGAGGAGTGTGATCAGAATCCTTTGTTATCTCTGCGTCTGAGCTCACTTCAGCAAAAGCAGGATATACGGAAAGATCAACAGCGAGGAGATGTGTGTGACAATGAGGAGCCGCAAGAAGGTCAGAGACCTACTGAACATCAAGAAGAGCCACATCTGTTTAAACCACAGCAACAATCCGCATCTGCGAATGACGTATCGTCGTTAGGATCACCACTGACGGGAGAGATATCGTCGATTCCTACACTACCGCAACAGCAACAACACCAGTCGGTTGCTGCCGGTGTGTCTGTACATTCTGGACGGCCATCGCTTCCAGATGCTCAAGTTCCTCAGCTACAGACACGGTCCCAACAGAAGTTTCAGATGCTGGCTCAGCAACAGCAGCAACAGCGTTTGCAAGGTAACCAGCTTAATCCACAGAGGCCAGCACCAGCATTGCCAATCAACACTCATAATGCACAAGTGAGTCCACAAGTTGCAGCTAGAATGCCCAAGACCAAACAGTCGTTATCAATGCGTCGTGGTATGAAACTACCTGGTGGCTTACCTGGAGCAACACCTTTGGTTAGCGGTAATGCTAGTGCTGATACAAAAGACGATATCACTACAAATAGCGCTGGCGATTCCAACTCCGTATCAAACCTACTGAGTAAGAAATCAAAACAACCTCTCCAGCCACAACAGCAGCAACCTTCATTACAATTGAAAGGTTTATTTGCAAACTTTTCCAAATACATCGATATCAAATCTGGGTCTTTGAACTTTGCAGGCAAGTTATCCTTGGACTCAAAGGGTATCAATTTTAACGGTACCAAGTTCAACATCTCTGCAGATGATTTGGAATTCATCGAAGAACTTGGGCGTGGTAACTATGGTACTGTGAGTAAAGTGTTACATAAACCAACTGGAATTATCATGGCGATGAAGGAGGTTAGATTGGAGTTGGATGATTCGAAGTTCAGACAGATTTTGATGGAGTTGGAGGTGCTACACAAGTGTAATAGTCCGTACATTATCGACTTCTATGGTGCGTTCTTCGTGGAAGGTGCTGTGTACATGTGTATGGAATTCATGGATGGTGGCTCTCTTGATAGAATCTACGGTGACGGTGTCGACGAGCCTCACCTTAAGTACGTTGCTGATAGTGTCATAAGGGGGTTGATGGAGTTGAAAGAGAAGCACAACGTCATCCATAGGGACGTCAAACCTACAAATATATTGGTGAACACCGCTGGTAAAGTGAAACTATGTGACTTTGGTGTTTCTGGAAACCTGGTTGCATCACTTGCAAAGACAAACATTGGTTGTCAGTCCTATATGGCTCCTGAGAGAATCAAATCACAAAGTCCAGACGACGTTGCGTACACCGTTCAATCTGACATTTGGTCCCTGGGACTCTCGATACTGGAAACTGCAAAGGGATGCTACCCATATCCACCAGAAACCTTCAACAACATCTTTTCGCAGTTGAGTGCCATTGTCGATGGTGAACCACCAAAGCTACCCGATGGGTTCTCGCCGTTGGCTCATGACTTCATAGCTCACTGTCTCGATAAGATCCCAGAGAGAAGACCAAATTACGCCCAGCTGCTGAAGCACCCATGGTTTGCAGATATGATAGATCAAGCTGAAATGTCCCACTACGTCAAACTGAGAATCAAAGAGGCCAAACAGGAAAAGACAAAACAGGACAAAGAGGACTTCAAGCAGTTGAATCAGAAGCTGAAACCACCATTACATAGAGGAGGCGCACCGAAAGGTGCCTAAGTAACTCATTGGCAAAGGACAAAGTACCAAGTTGCATTTATACCTTTTTGCTATCTTGAATTGTAATGCTGTGTAGATACGACGTTCTCAGAGATGCTCTCCCTGGCTCTGCTGAGCTCCCCGTAAAAGTTTTCTGCCTGGGACAGCAGCAGCAGCAGCAGCAGCGGCGGCGGCGGCGGCGGGCACCAGCCCAAGAAAACCCAGCGCAAAACTCCCTGTCTGACACATTGAAGGGTGATCTTAGGCTAAAGACGGTGATGTTCCCTACAATTGGCCTGAAGACAAAGATTGGCCTTGGACTCTTGTTGTCCTATTCGTCGTATGCGGTGTTTGTCTCCATAAGGACGAATTCAGAGATCTCTAAAAGGGCCAAAGCTGAGCAGCTTCGTCTACAGTCAACAACACCATCCGAGGGAGATAACGAGCCTGTGTGCTTGAGCCATAACCATGACCAATATTCCTCGCTTACAGTTGCTGGAAGATTTGAGAATCCATTTGATGAGTACAGGTCCTTAACACTGTTCGAGTTCTTCCTGTCAAGGATACTGGAACTGTTTGAAGGACGTGGACGTGGAGGTGTTCCGCATGGCTCAGAGCTTCGGAAGCTGTTACCAGTTCATACACCAGATATGGAACTAATACACCATCCAACGTTAGAGGATCCTGAGTTGCCACAGCCCGATGAAAGAATGACATTCACATGGCTCGGTCAGAGCTGTGCGTTTGTCCAGCTGTCAGGCTTGAATATCCTTACAGATCCTCTGTTCAGCAATTATCTCGTTAACAGATACCTCGGACCAAAGCGAATCACTCCATCTGCTTGTCAGTTAAGAGATCTTCCCACACCAAAGTACGTGCTGGTCTCACATAATCACCCGGATCATTTGGATCTGGAAGCTGCTGATGAGATTATGAACAAATCAACCTGGATCGTCCCGTTAGGTATTAGAAAGACTTTAGCTAAAAGAGGCATATACAATACGATCGAAATGGACTGGTGGGATAGAGTGAAATTGGATGTTGCTGAAGATCCAGATAATGTGTACGAGGTTGCATGTACCCCAGCGATGCACTGGTCTGGAAGAAGCTTGGTCGATTCTAATCATACGCTATGGTGTTCGTTTGTCGTTCTGAAGAATGGCAAACCTCTTCTGTTCCATGCTGGTGATACCGGCTATACAGATGGCGTGTTTAAGAAGATCTCGGAGACGTATGGTCCAGGAATGAAGTTAGCAATGTTGCCAATGGGACAGTATTGTCCACAATGGCATCAGAAACCACGCCATATAAACCCTGAGGAATGTGTGAAGATTATGGAGGATCTCAAGGCCAAGAAGATGGTTGGAATTCATTGGGGAACTTTTGTTCTCAGTAGTGAACACTTTCTTGAACCAAAGCTCAAGCTGGAGCAGATTGCTTCACAGTATAACAAAGAGAACGATTACTTAGTTCCAAGATTTGGACAGACAATGGTGTTTGACTTACGAGATGACGACAAAGCACCATCAGAGGTACACACGGTAAGAGACGGTAAGAGTGTACTGGTTAAATGATACATAGAGAACAAAACACATACAAGAGAATTCAGAATATTGCCATCATTTCTTGAACTGATCAAGTGTTGTTGGGTCTTGCAAGACCAACGAAAGGTCTTTGCTTGTGTCCTCGTAGTACTGCATTGATTTCAACATGTCCTTATCTTCAAGCTCTTTCATCACGTTGTAGCAGTTGTTTTCCACTTTACGCAATTGGTACAGCTCGTATTTGAAAGCTAACCATTCCACTGGCTTCTTTGCTAAGAGGGAGATCACAATGGCACCGGCACCAAGAGTCAAGAAAGGCTTTTTCTTATACCATTGAGGAGCAAATGTTCTAGCAGCTGGCAAGACCGTAAGAATACCAAGAGCAACAACAAATTTCGGAATAGCTTCTTCCATTTCCTTGAAAGTACGGAACAGAGCCTTTCTCTCGCTCAAATCCAACTTCTTATCGGCTTCGTAGAAACGCAGGGCATCATCCAAGGATGTGCTATAGAGGTGGTGATGTGGGTGGTCCTTGCCGGTAATAATCTTCTCTTCAGTGGCTTTATCCGGAGTCATTATGACAGCTGTGTGATACTATTGATGAATAAGGTGAGAGGAGAGTTACAAGCTTGCTCGATTGCTTAAATATAAACGATACGGCATATATGAACTCTAGTGCTTATGGTGTCGATTTCCGTGGAACAATCACGGCCAGACACATATACATAACCAGAGCGCACATTGGAACCGAGGAAAAGACAGCAGAGGATGGACGGACCGGCTATTATACTACTTCTATAGACACATTACGCTTCTCCTAGCTGTGCCACCCGTAATGCCTTCATTCATGGAGCATCTGGTAAGCAATATTGCTGAAACTTTAAGCAGTCCATCTGCAGCACTGGCTTTACAAAGCAGATTGAGATATATCCACGGACCAGGTTTCAGTGAGGCACTTTAACACATATTTCCGCTCAAAGTGAAGAGACAGGCTCCAGACGATTCTATTGTCTTCCCCGTGTAGGTTGCATACGTTTCAGATCATCTCTATGCACATGGAACAGGCGCAGGTGTGAGCTCCGGAAGTATAGAGCTTTCCGTCATACAAAGAGTCGAGTCAGCTTAGCCATGAAAGCCGCGTGCTTTGTGTATTATTTACAGAAGAGTTGAATGTTATCTCTATGCTCTTGGCCTTTTCATCAGTTGATCCAAGACTTCATCTTTAATCTTATAAGTGTGGGTGCCATACTCTGGGAACCGTCCAGATTTAACCTCGGAGACGTACGATGACATGGCCTCCACCAGGAGGGAGTGTCCTTCGATGAAGGTCTTGACGAATTTTGGTCTGTGGCCGTTCCCTAAGCCTAGCAAGTCCGTTTGAACAAGGACTTTGCCGCTTGTGTCTGGTCCAGCCCCTATGCCGATAGTTGGGATCTCGAGCTGCTCGGTGATGATTTTGGCCAACTTGTGTGGAATTGCCTCTAAAACCATGGAGAACGCACCGGCTTCCTGTACCTTTAGCGCATCTTCAACAACCTTTTCAGCACTTTGTAAAGTACGACCTTGCACTTTGAACCCACCTAATGCGTTAGACCTCTGTGGGGTTAACCCGACATGGGCCATCACTGGGATTCCCAGCTGTGTCAGCTGCTTTATTGTCGGCGCAATCTCCACACCACCCTCTAGTTTCACCGCATTGGCCCGACCCTTCGAGATCAGCTGAACTGCAGAGTCTATGGCCTTCGACGTTGACGATTCGTAGCTTCCGAATGGCATATCTGCCACGATGAAGCTGTTCTCCACACCACGGGAAACCGCGCGACAGTGATACAGGAACTCGTCAAATGGTATCTCATTTGTATCGCTATAACCCAGCGCAACCATTGCTAAGGAATCCCCAACGAGAATCATATCTGCGTTGGCCTCGTCAGCCATCTGGCCTGTGAGGTAATCATATGCCGTGATGACGGTGATCTTCTCCTTGGAATCGTAAAGCTTTGCAATGTCGCTGAGCGTGTTCCTCTGGACGTTCGATTGCGCACTGAACACCGCTCTCGAGGAGTGGAAACACCTCCTCTGCACAAGCCGTAGACGGAACATATCAGCACACCCCTGCTTATCCTCCTTTCTTCACGAGATCACTTGAACAACGCAGCAGATGAAACAGTTGTTGGGAGTCAAACTCCAAGCAATGTCTTGCTCGTATAGGCGAGAGAAAGTGGGAGAGTTGTACGGCACAGATGACCGAGGCACTCGCTCATCGCACATGCGGTGCAAACCAACACCCGGACACCGGCAAAATCAGCGGTGCACCGGTACGCGCAGCATCGGTACGCGCAGCACTATCACAACTGGCGCATAACGTCTAGCAGCGTGGGCAACGAGATGGGTGATGGGCTCCCTTTTGATAGGTTTCCGAGACATAGATCTGTTATCCTGAAGCCGGTGTCGTTGAGCCAGATCCGCGTAGCCCAGTAGATGTCCACAGCGACAGTTTTAAGCGCACACACGGTTCCAAGGCCGGGGCAGATGTGCTGGTTGGAGTTAGGAGGGCACGTTTTTTCACTGCTTTTCCCCAGGTGCCCCCCCCCCCCCACACACAGGGCAAAAGCCTGTGTAGACCGCGTAGGGTTGGTTATTCTCCGTTGTACCTTTGTCTCGTAAGGTATTCTAAGACAGAGCCTATCTCCTTTTGATCACTGCTGAAGGAAGGTTAGCCATTGTTGAATGTGTATGGCTCGTCATACACTTAGCGTCTGTGTTTGGCTTGGAAGAACGGAGTAAAAAGGCAGAAACGCGTGTCACGCTGGTCCCGGTGTTTCATAGATCATCGTCTGTTGACGCGTTGTGAGTTCTGATACAAAGAGAAACATTTCCTGTTCAGTTTCAGGAGGTGACACTGTTCAGTTTTGAAGCTGGAGTCCAGCAGCAACCGATCACAGCTCAAGATGCACGTGTTTCCTGTGTTGATCTGTGTCATGTTACTGAGGCTATCGGAGGGAGCCCTCATCTTCAACTACCACTCCAAACCATACGACCAAGGCGCTCTTGATGAGTACAACGTCCTTCGATTCTTAGGAGTGTCGTCGCCATACGTCCAGCACCCGGGCTTTGGTATTGGCAGAGCTACGCCTAATGGATGTGAAGTTACTCAGATGAACCTAATCTCTCGTCACGGTGAGAGGTATCCAACCACAAGCCAAGGTCAAACGATGGAACGGAACTTGGCAAGGTTGAGGTTCAATATAACGGAACGTCTTGATGGACCTTTATCGTTCTTACCCACCTACGATTTCGTTGCATTGAATCCGGAGCTGTACGAACAGGAAACCACCAGTGGACCATACGCTGGGCTTGCAGATATGTTCTCATTTGGGGAGACTATGAGGTACCGTTATGACCACTTAGTCAGGGATGCTTCACAGCTGAAGTTCTATCCCTCATCTCAGAAGAGAATTGTTGATTCTGCAACGTGGTTTGCCCATGGATTCATGGGCTCCAGCTTTGACAACTCCTCTATCATCCCTATCGACGAGTTTACCAATATGACAGGAGCGAACTCATTAACACCTGTCAATTCATGCCGAAACTACAACAGCAGGGCAGAGATCGATACTATTAGTCGATATTCAAAGGAGTTTATGAGTGACGCTGCGAAGAGAATGAACAAATCCACACCAGGGTTGAACCTGACCAGTGATGAAGTGTGGTCCTTGTTCACACATTGTGGATTCGACCTGAACATCCGTGGTGTCTCCACGCTTTGTGAGATCTTCACCGCAGATGAACTTATCTCCTTTGCGTACCTTTACAACGTCGAGACGTACTACGGACAAGGCCCAGGTCATAATATGAGCATTGCCATTGGATCACCATACGTCAATGCCATGATCAAGATGCTTGATGACGACACGAGGAACCTGACAATGTCCTTTGCTCACGACACAGACATCTTCTTTATCCTGTCCACTCTGGGTTTATATGACGGAAATGGGCCTTTACCTGTCGACCACCTCGACTTGAACAACGCATGGAGAGTGTCTGATCTGATGCCAATGGGATCAAGGCTGATCATGGAGAGATTAGAATGCTCTGGCAACAAGTACGTTAGGTTCATCCATAACGATGCCGTCATACCAATTCCCACGCTGAACAAGGGCCCAGGATTCAGCGCACCGCTAAAGGAGTTCAAGCACTACATTACAAAGCGACTAGGTGACACCAGCTATGCCAGCGCCTGTGGCAACCCAGATGACCTGCCTAATGAGCTGACATTCTACTGGGACCACTAGCACTTTAACACCAGTTACACTACTCTGCAATCGAGTATATACGCCCGATGTTGGCACCCCGTAAAGCCCCGAATTTTAGCCTCGGCTCTTTTGACCCTTCTTTGCGGGTGTTGTATTGAATCGGTAACCGGAGTGATTGAAAACAATTGGCACACTGCATGCCGACTAGAACTCTAAAAGTTTGGTGATCATAGGATTTGTGTCCATGTCCACGAGGACCACTTCGCCGGGATTTTCTCTCTCCTTTGTTCTCCATCTGAGGTTACTTGGGTTATCGTTTTATATAATCGCAATATAAAGATGGTTGGATTCAGAGGAACTGTGGAACAGCACCACCACAAGAACACCGTTCAATTGCCTTTGAAGGACTCCGATGGTTCTGCTGCTGCGACCATCCCACTGGACAAGTTGGTTGATTCAATTGAGGGTCTTCAGGACAAGTCCCGGTTCTGGCTGGCACCAACACTGTGCCATGGAGCCCTCCAGACTATGTACATCTATGGTGCTGCTGCTGACCAGGTGAAGTTCCCGGTGTACTACGGAAGAAGGGTTGTTGAGCTGCCACAAGGTGGTGTCGTCTCTGCCGATTATGTGATTCCTCAACCGGAGTCTAGCGAATCGTTCAAGAAGCTCGTTGGCGAGAACTTCCCTGAAGGCTGGCCAAAATTGCACCCAAGAACTAGATACCTCTCTCCATCTGAGGTTGATGCACTGAAGAGCGAGACCGAGACAAGACCTCTTGTCATCATCAACCATGGCCTAGGTGGTGGTTCTCATGAGCCTGTTATCAGAATGCTCACTTCTGAACTGCACGATGCTGGAATTGACGCCGTCGTCTTGAACTCCAGAGGCTGCTCCAGAACTAAGCTCACCACGCCAGAGCTGTTCTCCGGGTTGGCGACTGAGGATTTGCGTTATTTCACCAAGCTCATCCAGAAGGAGTATCCAAAGAGACCTCTCTTTGGTGTCGGGTTCTCGTTTGGTGCTACGATCTTGTCAAACTACTTGGGTGAAGAAGCTGGCGACTCACCATACGTTGCCGCCGCTGTCCTGTCCAACCCGTGGGATATGGTTGACTCTGCTTATCACATCCAGCACCAGCTGGTTGGTAAGTACCTGTTCTCTGATTCCATTGCATTTGCCCTATCAAGAATGGTCAAGTCCAACAGAGAAACCCTGTCCCAGAGTCCATTGTTTACAGAGGAGAAGATCCATAAGAAGTATCACTCCACAGTGGAGTTTGACAATGCAATCACAGCGCCTGAGTATGGATTCCAAACAGCGTATCAATACTATAGAGCGGCTTCCTCTGTCAACAGACTGTTGAAGATCCGTACTCCATTGCTTGCCATCAACTCATCTGACGATCCTGTTGTTGGTGTCTACTCCATTCCAAACTTTGAAGCAGAGGCTAACCCATACGTTGTTCTCATAAAGACGGACCTCGGTGGCCATCTGGCCTTTGTCCAACACGATGGTAAGTCCTGGGCCGTTGAAAGAATCGTTGATTATTTCAAAGCATTTGATAAGACTGTCGACTTGACAAAGAAGGTTGAGAGTAGCTACAAGCCAATGGTTTCAAAATACGTCGACAAGGTCCACTTCTAAAGCGAAACATCTCCTTACACTGATACACACATCCACACATATACATATACACTGCTAATTTCCCGCTTCTCCCCTTGCTGTAGTCCACGCAATGGAGCCGCTCTGTCTTGGAGCCAGCTGGCTGGCGGATGGTGAAGCACGAGCCAGGCTACCGCCCAGCTCAAGCGTTTCGAAGTAGTCCTGGATCATCAGCGTCGTGAGTTCCGGAGCTGGTAGAGCGGCTCTTTGGAGTGCCGTGAGAAGAGCCAGGGCCTCTTTCAGAACAGACTCGTCTACTTTATCCCTAGGCAGTGCCTTTTCAGCATCAACAACGTATCTTCTTGACACGTCCTGGTAGCCATGTATCCCAACGGCGATACAATAGCTCATCTTCTTACCCCAACCCTTGTTATAGAGCTCAGGGTTATCAAAGGCGTCTTCGCACGAGTCGAGGTGGATCCACCTCCCCTGCGAGTTCGACCAGTACTCTGTCCACACGTGGTCTTCAGCATTCCACACGTATCTCACTCTCAGTCCTAAGGATCGTAAGATCAGAGCGAAGCAGTTGGCCCATTCACCACACCGGCCGTTTCTGGTCTTCAGCAGCATCGCAGGGTTGTTGTAGCGCGGGTACCTCACCAGAGACCCGTCAGCACAGCGGTACACCTCAGTGACAGAGGCACCGCCTTCTCGGGCCTCCTGTGGACTGGATCTCTCAACAGAGATGCGTTGTGGCTTGCCCAGCTCCGGCGCAACCTCAGGCTCGTTGGTCCACTTGAAGAAGTCTGTCTTGAACCAATGGAGTGTTTCCAGCACCAGACAGTCCGTGAAGTCATAGCCCTTGGATCTATTCTCCTCCTGCTGTAGCCTCTCATCAGCACCTTTATACAGGCGCTCAACGTCGATCGCTTCCAGGGCGAGCTCCTGGTTTATAGGGTCCTCGTACTGCTGGACCGTGCTGGACAGCGACGCAATCCTCGTGAGGAACCCGTTCTGTGAGATCAATTGGCGAAGACGATCCCTCTTCCCGCAATCACGGAGTTGCCTGGCCACACATCTGTCTCTGAAAGCGTTATACAGCTCCATTTCTACTGGTTACGAGGGTTTGTTCGGTATGAAAGACGGGAGAAGGTAAAAAGGTGTCATCGCCCTATATCGCGGGCCCTGCTCTCGATTAGGTGGCATACAGACGATTATATTATATTATGATATATATAATATAATATATATATACAGCTAGGGTTAGTGCTCTATGTACAGTATAATCAGCAGTGCCTAGACGATCTCAGCAGCGACTAGACGATCTCAGCAGCGACTAGACGATCTCAGCAATGCAGTACTTCGCCTTACCAACCCTCAGCAGCAGGATCTTTCCATCGATCAATTGCTCTCTGGTCAGCAGCAAAGAGTCAGAGGTGTCGACCTTGAACCTGTCGTAGCCGAGATAGACACCACCGTTGGCAACCAGCTTCTTGGCCTCCTTCTTTGAGCAGCCGTGGAGCTTCGCCACCAACGTGCTGAATGGCTTGTTCAAGAATTCGGCACCTTCTAGAGTGGTGAGGATACCAGCGTTCTTGAAAGAGTGGATCAACGTTTCAGAGTCAATGTCTGGATAGGCAAGGTCTGGCAATGGATACAGGATCTGCGAGATGACAGCAGCATCCTTCCCTGAGCCGATGCCGTGGATCAGATCAGTGACCTCGTTTGCCAGGACCCTCTGAGCATTGCGGTAGGAAGGGTCCTTCATGTGTCTCTCCACGATGGAGTCGATCTGCTTGATGGGAAGGAATGTGAAGATCTTCAACAGTTTGGCAACGTCGGAATCAGGGGTCTTCATGAAGTACTGGTAGAGGTCGAAGCTCGGGGTGATGGAGGAGTCGATGAAGACGGCGTTGCCTGCGCTCTTGCCAAACTTGGCACCTGAAGAAGTCGTCAAGAGTGGGACAGTGATGCCAAAAGGCTGCTTCTTCGACTTGGGGTCCTTCAGCCTGGTGATGAAGTCGATTCCAGCGGTGATGTTACCCCATTGGTCGTTTCCTCCAACTTGGATGCTCACATTGTCGTTCTGGAACAGGTAGTGGAAGTCGTAGGCCTGTAGGACCTGGTATGCGAACTCGTTGAATCCAATACCATTCTCAGATTCAATACGACCTTTGACACTATCTCTGGCAAGCATTTGTCCGACTCTTATGTGTCTACCGTAGGTGGACAAGAACCCTAGGAAGGTGACGTCCTTCCACCATTCGTAGTTGTTTCTGGTGGATATGGCACCTTCATTCACCATTGGCGTGATGGCCAAAGACTTGACGTAGCGGACACCGCTGGTAAAGAACCTCTCCATCTGACCAGAGATCCTCGAGACATTGTCCAGCCTCGTCTGGTCCTCCATGGCAGAACGCTCAGTAGTACGGCCACTAGGATCACCAACGGCACCGGTGGCGCCGCCAACCAGTCCAGTGATGTCGTGTCCTCTAATGTTGAAATGGAGTAGGATCATCAGGGGTAACAGGTTGCCCAAATGGAGCGATTTGGCAGTAGGATCTGCTCCACAGTACAACCCGAGCTTAGTCTTCTCAATCAGCTCACCTAGCTGCTCCTCGCTGGTGACATTAGAGACCAATCCTCTCTCCTTTAAGTGCGGTAACAGAGGTTGTTCGAGGTCTTCCTGGAGCAGCTTCTGATCAACGTTGAGAGACTGATGCCATAGCTCACTGAACTGGTGAAGCTGGCGTGCACCGAGTTGTCTCTTGAAGATCGATCTGAACGGAATCATAGCTTCTTCTCAAGTGCTCAAGCGTGTGGTGATTGGCGTGGTGGACGTGTATATTAATACCCAGTAGATATGTCCAGCCCACCATCGCTTTTTTTTTTCACCTCCACCATGTCCTGATCAGCCATATGACACTACAACACCACATCATCATCGCAGGAATGTGGCCTTAGGACTATGAAAACTACTCAATCGTTGGTGTATGTGTGCTACTACATCAACAGTGTGTGTGTAGCCGAGAGTCGATTAAAGAAACCATTCGATAGTTCTCCTCTACCTATGTACTGGTGATGAGCATTCTCTTTACTCGTCAACTTCATCTAACACGACACGACGTTTTGCAACTGGCTTCTCATTCTGCTGTGAGCTCGTGGTCTTTGCACTGTCCTCGACGACTTGCTGCTGCTGCTTCTTCTTAGACTTCTTCACCTTTGCAACCTCCCAAGCATAGAATGGCTTAAAACTATCAAAGAACCCAACATCTTCAAACAAGTTAGGGAATATCCACAGCCCTTGCGGCATTACGGCAATCGACAGCACGTATAAAATCAGCCTAACAATGGCAATCACGATGATGAGGCATACAAAGCCCAGCAGAGCCATGGAAAGATACCACACACCTCTTCTCATGAAGAGCGGCCACAGTGGGAACAGAACCACCGTGAAGACACCAATGAGGATACCGAAGCCCATGAGACGGTCCCACGGGTTGGACTTCTTGTAGAACCAGATGTAGTACTGGTCTGGCTCAAACGACGCCTGTTGTAGAGGAAGGAAACACGGCGAGCCCTTCTTGACCTTGATGTTCTGCGCTCTCGCCTCACTGGTGTGCAGTTTCTGTCCCGGCAGAAGTAGCCTGTTCTTGATCAGCAGAATCACAAGGTTCTTAGCATCGTCCTTGGTCTTACACACAGGCAACTGGTTCTTCGGGTTCGACGCCTTCGAGTTGTACTCCTCAGACATCAACGCACGCACTGCCCTCTTGTAACGGAAGAAGTCCACCGAGGAGCCCTGGAGCGAGCCTGAACGCTGCTTCAACACGGCATTGTCGCGCAGAAAGTTGGCTACGTTAACAGCAACAGGATCGACAGGTGGTGCTGACATCTTCTCTAACCCTTTTGGAAGCCCTTGTAGCTGAAGTGAAGCGTAGCGACGTGTATGCTGACCGTGCCTGCTCATACGTGTTATTTTTGCCTGTGTGTGGTGTGTGGTGTATGGGTTTTGTGGCCGTGGGCTTGCCGTGGCCACGGGCGAGTGGTGTCTGGATGTACTTCCCACCCTCGATGCTTCGGGGTCCTCACAGCGCAGTTTGAGGGCTGAAACCACGGTTCCAAGGCCCAATGAGTGGTGTATACGCCTCAATTGGCACGGAGATCGATGGGCCTCTGCTACAGGCGACAGAATGCTTGGTGGAGCGGGAATTCGTGGGGGCTGCCATTGGTTCGTCTGAGCTCTTTGGTGTGGTTGAAGACAGGGTAACGGCCATCGCGTATGGTTAAAAAAATTATTTCACTGTACACAGCAACACCGTTGTTGTAGGCTGTATACCTCTGTTGGCTTACAAGTAAGGGGAGATACTGAGATGGAGGCGTACTCAGAGGAGGACCTGAGGAAGCTGATCGCTTCCTTCCGCGAGGGTCTTGAGCTGTATAACAAAACGCTCTCAGAATCGCTTGAAGACGTGAGAAATGAGCCATTGGAGAACCCAAACAGTGAACTGTCCAAGCTGGCGCAGCTGCTATACGCCCATGCCACGAAGATTGGGATTGCGTTCAGACCACCTGTGAGCATCAATGCGAGCTATGAACAGCTGCGAGAGACTTCGTCGAAACTGCTGCTGATTGTTGGGCTGGTTGCGCAGTTTGAGCCTCGAGCATGGTCCCAGTTGTACCATGATGAGGTAGTGTCACAGGTACGGGAGGTGATCAGTGCCTTCATAACGTTGTTGGATGAGCTGGAGCAGTTGGACTTCACGGACGATTCCAGCGAGAACAGCGAAGGAAGACTGATCTCTGTCGGCAAGGTTTGGGATAGTTGTAAGTCACTCGAAGAACTGATGTCGTTGGGAAACATTGGGCTCTTGAGTAAACAGATCAAGTTGAGCATCGGTATCGTGGAGGATGCTTCCTCAGAGCTATCAGAATGGCTGCTTGATCCTTATGTTGAAACGGATATTCTCATCGGCCAGGATAAAGAGGGAGAAGACGATGACGACGACGATGAGGTTTCACATGATACACTCGAATTCGCCAACCAGTGGATAACAAAGGTCAAGATGCTCAAGCTGCTGTTGAGTTCCCTTGCCAAGTCATTACCTACAAAGGTGGCTGATGGATCTTTGCTTGATCAGTTCAACAAGGAACAGAAGAGTCTGTCTGCAAACGTTGATGACCTCGTGTGCGATATCTTTCTAAACCAAGATAAGGAACAATTGGATCAAAATGCGCAAAGGGTTCAAGATCAGAGTAAACTCCTCATCAAGTTAGTAAGAGACCTGAACAAAGGGGACGATAAGAAGACCATGTGGTTAGACCTTTGGCTGGAGAAATTTCAACATTAGTATACAATAAATAGACCGTCAATTGAGTTATAATCATACACTACTTCTAAGGATTGGTGTTTTTTTGTCATATTCTATCTAATGATCCACCCATGAATAGCAATATCACCATTCATCTCCATCACTTTCATCATCACTTCTTCCAACTTTAGCCTTTCTAGAGCTCAAAGCAGCAGCCAAAGCATCTGCCAAACTTCCACCACCACCAGGAGCACCAGGAGCACCACCAGATGAAGGAGGAGGTGCCTCACCGCGTTGTTCTTGTAATATGATAGATGGTTTGTCCAGCTGTGATTTGTCAACTTTCTTCAAGGATCCTATACCTGCACCACGGATAGAGGCCAATAAAGCGTCTCTACCAGCATCGGCTTGAGGCAACGGTGGTGCTGGTGTTGAGTCAGTAGACATTGCAGGAGGAGGAGGTGCGACTGGGATGGAGCCACCAGCTGGCAATGGAGGAGGTGGTGGAATGGAGCCACCAGATGGTAATGGTGGGGGTGCTGGAATGGAGCCACCAGCTGGCAATGGAGGAGGTGCTGGAATTGCATTTGAGTGTGCAGTTTGGGACAATGGAGGAGGTTGAGGTACAGCTGTTGGTTGTTGATATTGTTGATGTTGTTGTGGCTGTTGATACTGTTGTGGTTGTTGATACTGTTGTGTCTGATACTGCTGTGGTTGATACTGCTGTTGATACTGCTGTTGATGATCTGCTTGTCTTGAAGGTGGAGCCGGTGGAACTGCTCTTGAAGACCGTGAAGGAGGAGGAGGTGGAGCTGCACCACCACGACGTGAAGGAGGCACAGGTGGTGGAGCCCTGCCTTGAACAGTTGATCCCACAGCTCCCATTGTAGCTCTTGGAGGAGGAGGAGGAACTGGCCCCCTTGAAGGTGGAGCTGGAGGCACCGCACCTCTTGATGGAGGAGTAGGTACTGGTCTTGATTGTTGTAGCAGCGGAGGTGGAACAGGCCTGACCTGTTGAGGTAGAGCAGGTGGCACAGGCCTTGCCTGCTGGGGCAATGCTGGTGGCACAGGTCTCCCCTGTGGCGAAGGTGTTGATGCATACGGACTCGATACTGTTGGTGTGAACTGTTGTTGCTGTTGTGACGGTGGTGTTGGCAATGTCGTCGTCAATGGAGGAGGAACAGAATGCACCAATGGTGGAGGAACTTTATGCACTGGACCCTTTGGAGTTTCTGGCTCAGGCGATGGCTGTGAAGATGACCTTTGATCACTGTTATCATTATAAGAGTATTCAGGCGGAGGTGACACTTCAGATTGGATTGACGGAGTTGAGCTCATAGTGCTTGAATGAGCCAATGGTGGTGGTGGAGGAGGAGCCTTTTTCCTCATCGAACCAGAAGTTGTAAGTGTGCTTGAGTAGAACTCCTGTTGAGGAGCAGATTCAGATGAATTGAACGATGATTGCACGGTGTTTCTACCACGCTGGAACTTCCGTGGAACTGGAGGCTCCAATCCCACCAATGGCCCACCTTGTTGTCTGATGTAGTCCTTGATGAATTCCTTGTTATCAGCAATCATGTCCTCTGTTATCCCAGCATTGGCCAATTCCTTATACAGAGCTCTCCACTCTGGTGGAGGCTGATCATCGTAGTACAACACATGGGTCGTCTTTCTGATTCTCTGGTCACCGCCACTTGTACTCAACAGCTCTCCACGAGGCCCCGGAGCCCTCGATTCCTCGGGCATGCTCTTCTTCAGCGCAATGGCCTGCTTATTGTTCACGGTCTTCTTCGAGCCATGCTTCTCCCTATGGCACACTCTCTTGTAGAAGTGCGTAGCGTCAGATGTATCGTCGAACAGTAGGCCAGCTAGGCAGTCTTCCAGCTCAAAGGTGTGGAAGAAGGACCGGTCTTGGTTATACTGGAAGTCCACATACAGCTCCTGATCCCACACAACGCCGCGCTGGCCATGGATATCAACCAGCTTGAGGAAGAAGGAGTGGCCAACCAGATCGTCAACCAGAACGACGGCTCCGCTGAGCCCAGTGTACGTCCATTGTTGTGGATCAGGGTACGCAATGTACAACCGGGCAATGGCACCATCAAGCACCTTCTGCGATGCCTTGGGGATCACACGCTTGACTTTATCCTTCTGTGCTGTGGTCAATCCCATTTCGTACTCTTACAGGCTCAATTGGCACGCCACTTCTGGTGATGTGTATGTTTCTGGCGTGGTTTTATGGGTGTCTCTGAGGGTTTGTTTGTATGTGTTGGTGGGTGGGCTGTGGTTGTTTTCGCTGTTTGCGCGGAATGCCAGGCGGAGGGGGTTCCGCTGGTTTGTTCGCCAGGCTGTGGGCTTGTGGGCTTGTGGGCTCGTAGGCTCGTAGGCTCGTAGGCTCGTAGGCTCGTAGGCTGCCAGGCTGCCAGGCTCCAGGCTCCAGGCTCCAGGCTCCAGGCTCCAGGCTCGTAGGCTCCAGACTCGTAGGCTCCAGGCTCCAGGCCAGAGCCCCCAGGCCAGAGCCCAACACCAAACAGCCACAACCAGATTTATTCACCACCCCCACTGTTTACACCAATATCAGCACTACAAACACATCCAAAATGACAAAGGACAACCTCATTGGCATCTTCCGCTGCGATTACTCGCTAACTCTGAAGCACAAGTATGGCGACTTTGCCGACCAGTCAGCCCAGGTTATGAGGAATGCCGGGTATGAAGGTGATTTCAAGGTCTATGACGTTATCAAGTCACAGTATCCCACTGAGGAAGAGTTGGCACAGCTGAAGGGGATATGGATCACCGGCTCGGTCGACGATGCGTTTGGAGATGTTCCATGGATCAATGAGCTGTGTGATTATCTCTACAAGTTGTATACGACCCACCCAGGCATTCGTATCGTTGGCATATGCTTTGGCCATCAAATCATCGGTAGGGTGTTTGGCTGTGGCGTTGGTCGCAACCCTAAGGGCTGGGAGTTTGGAACGTATCCAGTTGAGGTGTCCAAGGACAGTGACGTTCAAGAGCTATTTGAACAGGTGAAGGGGTCGTTCAAGATTGTTGAGGTTCATCAGGATGTCGTCTTCGACATCCCACCCGGGTTTAAGTCCATTGGCTCTACACAGCTAGCACCAGTCCAAGGCTTATATCAAAGGGACAGGGTCTTGACTTTCCAAGGACACCCGGAGTTCACGCTAGCATTCCTCGTTGATCTTTTGGATGCTCGAAGCAAAGCCGGCAAATTCACAGATGAGCAGGTCAAACGTTTTGAAACTAGGCTGATTGCAGATCAAGGTGTCGAGATAACTAGAGTCATACTGAAATTCCTTCTGGAAACAAGAACAAACCGCTTGGTTAATTAGAGAATGATATAGTATAGAACAACGGCACAGCTTTCTCCTCATGTAAACTCTGGTCTCAAATCAGAACGACGTGGTGCAACCAGAGGATGTAGCTGTGCGAGGTAGGTGATGGCCCACATCAAAAACATCATTCCAAGCGTCAATGAAACAGTGCTTCTCCAAACACTGAGATGCGTTAGTAACGAAGAGAAAGACACAACAAGCACTCAATATACTTACGTTTGGTTCTCCTTTGGAGCAAACTTCCAAAACACTGCACCGGAGACAAGCGTTATAAAGAACACTACCCACACAGTTGTTCTATCGCATAAGTTAGTCAAGTCCAGACGCGTGTTGATAAACCACAACAGAACTCACCCGCTCATTTGGTGCTATCCCTGTTGACGTTCTAGAAGGTGGTGTTGGTTGTTGATGTTGATGTTGATGTTGATGTTGATGGTTGTAGACGGAGGGTTCCCCCTAGTGGCTGCTTAAATCCTGCCCAGCCCGCGAAATTCTTCAGCCCAGCCATACGTTGGACAGTACGACAACAACACACACAGGGAAAGCCTGAAAGGGGAGGGAGTCTGTAGGAAGATGTTGTCAAATGAGCTCTTACACTGGCTGTTCAGGGTGTTGCAGCCCGTGAGTATGGTCTTGCTGATCCATTGGACGGGCGACAGTTGTACTAACTAAGCAGTACTGCGAAGGAATACAGTGATCCAAGAACCACATACCATGATGTTGCGGTCTTGCTACAGAGGTACCCTACGCTGAAGCCGCGCACCAGGGTATACACGTATGAGACCGGTGAGTCGGCCCTACTGCTGGATATCTACGGCGCCCTGCCGTCGAGGATTAACGGTGAAGTGTATCGAATCCCTGTGGAAGTGTGGATTCCTCATGAGTACCCGCTGGCGTCACCTATTGCCTATGTTACACCTACTGAGAAGATGGTATTACAGCCTGGGAATCACGTCGATACCAATGGGAAGTGCTATCTGGAGTATACGGCGAACTGGAGCGCTGAGCGGAGAAGCAACGTTGCTGGTCTGTGTGATGATCTATGCCTTGTGTTTGCGAAGGAGCCACCTGTATTTGCCAAACCAACACAGCCAATAGTACAGCCAGTGGTAAAGCCAGTGGTACAGCCAGTGGTACAGCAAGGAACACTACACAGAACAGACCAAAGACCGCCTTCGCTACCTTCCAAAGAGCGGATCATCGCTCCTGAACCGGTGCATGCTCAAGGTGTGGTAAACAGCCCACCACCGCTACCTCCTCTACCACACGAATTACGCTCTCAAATCGTGAAATCACCAACGCTGAACCAGATGACAAGGCAGTCGCACCTCAAACCTGCTTTCGAACAGCCGAATATCCTTGATGCCTTAGCCGATGACCAACAAGGTGAAGGAAACGGCACAGATAGAAGTGAAGTGCTAAGCAAGATTGAGAGCCAATTACAATCTCTATACAACATGGAAGTGGCGACGGAGGTGAACTCTTTACACTCAAACGTTGCAGAGATCCAATATGCCGTTGGAAAGTTCGGCAAGATCTTCACCTATGAATTCGACACCGTGGAGAAGATCCAGCAGCACCTTGAGCAGAATGAAAGGCTGCTGGCAAAATGCATCAAGGACGCTGATGTCGCCATAGAGAAGGCCAATTCCATAAGGGAGATCGACACGGCGGAGATGATCTGCGCAGAAAACGTTGTGTATAATCAGTGAGTATCCTCGAGCACATCACAAGATTCAAGACTACTAACCAGTGTTCCAGGCTGTACGACTTGGTTGCAGAGGACCAGGCCATTGGCGATACGATTTATGTCCTGACAAAGGCGTACGACAACGGTAACGTGCCGTTGCCATCCTTCATCAAAGTGAGTCTACCGAGCACACAATTGTACAATGCACAGCTTACTAACACACACAAGCACACGAGATCACTCGCAAGGGAACAGTTCTTCAAGAAGGCTATGATTGTGAAGATATCACAGATGCTTAACCTGAATACATAGCACCAGTACACGTTATGATCTTTAAAGACCGAGTAAATGTCCCGAATAGGCAATTGCCTATTTGGGCAACACAGCTGCGGAAAAAAATTTCACCGCTGGTTTTTGGAAGAGGGAAAAATCTTTCAATAGCTCATCTCACCACTGTTGAAACCAGAGCGGAAGTAGAGAACAGACATAGTAAACGATGACAGACTTCATCAAACCTGAGAACGTTTCTCCATCTCAAGATGCTAGTGAATGGCCATTGTTGCTGAAGAACTTTGACAAGCTGCTTGTGAGAAGTGGTCACTATACACCAATTCCAGCAGGCTCTGCTCCACTCAAGAGAGACCTCAAGTCTTACATCTCCTCTGGTGTCATCAACTTGGATAAGCCATCCAACCCATCTTCCCACGAAGTTGTTGCATGGATCAAGAGAATCCTCAGATGTGAAAAGACCGGTCACTCCGGTACTTTGGATCCAAAGGTCACCGGTTGTTTAATTGTGTGTATTGACAGGGCCACTAGATTGGTCAAGTCCCAACAAGGTGCTGGTAAGGAGTACGTGTGTATCGTCAGACTCCATGAGGCCCTCGACGATGAGAAGGAAATGGGTAGAGGCCTTGAGAACTTGACTGGTGCTCTTTTCCAAAGACCACCTCTCATCTCTGCTGTTAAGAGACAACTTCGTGTTAGAACCATCTACGAGTCAAAACTCATCGAATTTGATAACAAGAGAGGTCTCGGTGTCTTCTGGGCCTCTTGTGAAGCTGGTACCTACATGAGAACCTTGTGTGTTCATTTGGGTATGCTTCTCGGTGTTGGTGGCCACATGCAAGAGCTTAGACGTGTTAGATCTGGTGCTCTTGGTGAAACCGACAACTTGGTCACTTTGCACGACGTTATGGATGCTCAGTGGACCTACGATAACACCAGAGACGAGTCCTATTTGAGAAGAATCATCCAGCCATTGGAGACTTTGCTCCTTGGTTACAAGAGAATTGTTGTTAAGGACTCTGCTGTGAACGCTGTATGTTACGGTGCTAAACTCATGATTCCAGGTTTGCTCAGATATGAAGAAGGTATTGAGCTCTATGACGAAGTTGTCTTGATCACAACAAAGGGTGAAGCCATCGCCATCGGTATTGCTCAGATGTCCACTGTCGATTTGGCCTCATGTGATCACGGTGTTGTTGCTAAGGTTAAGAGATGTATTATGGAGAGAGATCTCTACCCAAGAAGATGGGGATTGGGCCCAGTAGCTCAAAAGAAGAAGCAAATGAAGGCTGACGGTAAGCTTGACAAGTTTGGCAGAGTTAACGAAAACACCCCGGCTGATTGGAAGAAGACCTATGTCGATTTGGAAGGTAACCCAGAGCCAACCGCTTCCTCCACCACTGCTACACCAAGCAAGCCATTGATCAAGGAAGTCGAGATGACTGACTCTCCTGCTCCAGAGGCTGATACCACTGCTGATGTGACAGTCTCTGAAACCCCATCTAAGAAGGAAAAGAAGGACAAGAAGGAGAAGAAGGACAAGAAGGAGAAGAAAGAAAAGAAGGAGAAGAAGGAAAAGAAGGAAAAGAAGAGAAAAGCTGATGATGAAGAGGAAGAAGGCGAGAAGAAGAAGAAGGCCAAAAAGTAAGCCCAATACCTTCCAGAATGAGGAATGCTACAAGGTCCATTATAGCGTCTCTCTGTCGTCATCAACTTTGGCTTATTTCATGTGTATAATAGGTTGTTATCATTGTTTAATCACAAGTTACTAGAATCGAAAAAAAAGACTACAGTCAATTGTAGAGGAAATCGTTACTATATTGTCGTTCTATACTATACGAGCATCAATATGCAACTTCTAATGTACAATACTGAATATCTGATGGAGAGATGAAATCATCAACGTTGCTTATACAAGATGATGGATTAATGGAGAAAAAGTCATAAGTCGTTGTCATTAAAAGTTTTGAGAGATGGCTTCTTTCTGCTGTGGGGTCAATGTAAGAGGATAATCAATTTTATACTTGACCTTCAAGTCACCTCTTGTTCCCGGCTGCTTGGAGATTGGCATACCTAAGCCAGGGTATGTCTGTACAGAATCTGGTTGTACTGGCATTGTCTTTGATAATGGGATTCTTCTTCCATCAACACTCTCCACAATCTTGTCGAATCCCAACAATGATTCCTTGAACGTCAGAGGCAAGCTGTAGATCAAATCGTTACCATCTCTTTTGAAATATGGATGTGGTTTTTCCTTTAAAATGAATTGTATCGTGTTACGGCGTCCAGATGGGGTCCAATCACCTTCATTGTTGAATGTGATCTTGGTTCCCTCCTTCCAACCTGGTTTGATGTCAATTTCAATGATCTTCTCCTCCTTGGAGTTGTTAACACCTTTTCTGTTCAATTTCATCTTCTTCGTGGTACCCTTGGCAAGGTCTTCCAAACTGACAGGTAGCTGGATCTGTTGGATTTCAGGCTCAGGCTCTCTACGGCGGTTGAAGCCACCGCCGCCCATACCGCTACCACCGCCCATACCACCAAATCCACCAGGCATGCCGCCAAATCCACCACCCATTCCGCCAAATGGACTTCCACCGCTCGAAAAGTGGAAGGAGGCTCCGTCATCGCCCATGCCACCGGCACGCGCAAACTGTTCAAAGATGTTGGAAGCATCGGCAAAGTCGAATCCACCGTAGGAACCTCCAGAGCTGAACCCGCCAGAGCCACCAGGTCTTCCACCTCCCATATTTGGATCAAACTGTGGGCCGCCGTGGCGTGCAGCCTCCAAACCATAAGTGTCGTACACCTCACGCTTCTTCTCGTCGCTCAAGATGTCAAACGCTTCAGAGATCTCCTTGAACTTCTCAGTATCACCCGTTGGTTTATCAGGATGGTACTTCAAAGCCATCTTTCTATAAGCCTTCTTGATCTCGTTATCAGAGGCACTTGGTGCAACTCCCAATCTATCATAGAGTCCTGTTTCTTTCACCATTTTGTATATATGAAGTCAATCACAGCTGTGTGTTTGCTACTACCAAAGAAGCAAGAAAAAATTTACCTGTATAACCTCCAAGCGGGCAATCTCACCACTTTATATGGGAAATTGTCCTTCGTTCCCCTTTGGACGGCTTTTATGGGAGTCGAGCGCGCGAGGGAGGGAGCCCACACAGAAAAAAAGTTCTTGAACCTTCTGGAAGGTTCCATCGTGAAAACAAACAAAATCCTCCAGGGGGGGAATACACCAACTTCACGACAACGGTGGAGCACATTGCGAAGGACGTGAAGGAGATGTCTGTTATTCTTGCGTCTGCTGGTTATGACCATACGATCCGGTTTTGGGAGGCTCTGACGGGTGTTTGTTCGAGGACAATTCAGCATGCTGATTCGCAAGTGAATAGGCTTGAGATCACCAGTGATAAGATGTTCTTAGCGGCGGCTGGGCATCAACACGTTCGTCTTTACGATATACGCACTACGAATCCCAACCCTGTGACGTCCTTTGAAGGCCATACGAACAACGTCACTTCGATTGCGTTCCAATCTGACAACAAGTGGATGGTGAGCTCGTCTGAGGATGGAACGGTTAAAGTATGGGACGTTCGTGCGCCCTCGGTCCAGAGAAATTATAAGCATAACTGCCCCGTGAACGAGGTTGTTATACATCCCAACCAAGGTGAGCTGATCTCGTGCGACCAGGATGGTAATGTTCGTATATGGGATCTGGGAGAAAACCAATGTACGCATCAGCTTATCCCTGAAGATGACATCCCGGTGCATTCCGTATCTGTTGCTTCAGATGGCTCAATGCTCGTTGCCGGTAATAACAAGGGGAACTGCTATGTATGGAAGATGAACACGCAAAGAGAGTCGACTTCGCTACAACCGGTGACAAAATTCAGATCGCATTCAAAATACATCACAAGGGTACTGTTATCTTCAGACGTTAAGCATTTGGCAACTTGCTCTGCAGACCACACTGCACGAATTTGGAGCATTGACGATTCATTTGGGTTGGAAACTACACTACAAGGCCATCAGAGATGGGTTTGGGACTGTGCGTTCAGCGCGGACAGTGCCTATCTAGTAACGGCATGTTCTGATCACTACGTTAGATTGTGGGACCTTTCGACGAGTGAAACCGTTAGGCAGTACAACGGTCATCACAAGGGTGCGGTATGTGTTGCTCTCAATGATGTGTGATGGACGTATACGATATCTTATTAATATTTTAATGACTGTACTACTCACTGGATGAATCAAACCATCGTTGTAGCTGATAAACATGATGTAGTTTTAACCACGTGACTCGTATCTTTTCTTCGAAAAAAAATAAACTCCGCGACGGGGAATTGAACCCCGGTCTACCACGCGACAAGCGGTAATTCTAGCCACTAAACTATCACGGATTTCTTGAATTCCGAAGTTAACATAGATGGTCATATTGAGAGTGTAAACGTAACAAAGCATTGGCTTGGATGAACGGTCTAACGAGACCCTACGTTCAGAATTGGTGATTAATTGTATTGAGATGCCCATTATATAGTTCTATTATTTAATGTGAACACCTTCTGGCTCTCAACAGTGTATGCCTTTCTCGCCGTTGTGATGTTATATGAGCAGAACATCTTGGTTGTATACAAACCGTTGAACTGCAGAGTATCTTATGAGATAGATACTGCCAGGGATAAGGTCGATTTCCTCTTCACCAATAACTATGGTCTCTATCGTGTCGTTGATCACTTTCACAAAGACTGGTCTGTCCAGGTCTGGCTCCTCAATCATCGAAATACCACCTCCGGTGTCGTCCAGTGCCTGTAGTTGTTCCGGTAATTGGGACAAGAACAGGGAGTTGTAAAGATCAATCAAGGCTCTGAAATGCGACTCCATGTACTGTGTTTCTGCCGGCGATAGCCTTTGTACCAAATCTTCATCATTCCTTATAAAGATGGTGAATTTGTCAACTTTGGAGAGCCTTGTACGAAGGTACGATCTCAGTATGAAATTGACACGGTCCAGCTCAGACTCAATGATCATGAGCTGAAGTTTGATATCTCTTTCAGTGGTTTGCAATTCGATCGAGTTCATCTCAATGAATTCAATCTGAACACGAATCCGGGACAGAATTCGATCTATTAGCGACTGTTTGTAGTCCAACAACTCAGGACACATCCGTTCACTAATCCACGCGTTTTGGAGCTCTTGGAAGTCACTACGTTTCACTTCAACTTCGTTGTATTTGTGAGAGCGAGTTTCCCTCTCGAACTCTTCCAGAATGTCATCAAATTCCATGGTTTAAGAGTCCACAGTGACCAAATTGCCACTCTTTCAGTTGTTAATTGTTTGATGTTTTGATGATTGAGAAGTGGTTTTCAGTGGTTTTTTTAGGCGTCGCGTTCCATCAACATTGAACAATAACAACAACAACAACAACAACAACACACACAGGACAAGTAACGTGAGGGAATGTCAAGAAGAGAGGAAATCGAAGCCAAGAGACAACGGCTCGCAGAGCTTCGACGCCAGAGGGAAGAGAAAGAGAAGAAATTCAGGGAACGTGAAACTCCAGATGGTTCTGCCCAATCATCAACGCTGGCATCGCCTTCCTTGACATCGCCAACATCGGAACAAGTCTCTAGAGAAAGCATCGACAATCTGGTGAACCAGCTTGTTAAGGAGAATAATGACAATTACAAAAGTATCTCAGTACAGACTGACTTGATCTCGCCACTGAAGAGCTTTAATAAAGGCACACAGACCATGGTTCTTGATGATGAAGATGACCAGCATAAACAACCAGAGGAAGAGCCTTTAAGTGAGATTGAAGAGGCAGAAGACGTGACTGATGCTAAGGAGGACCTATTGATTGTTGATGACGAACATCTCAGATCTTTCTTTGCAAAATCTTTCAAGATATTGAATAGAGCTATAGAAGAAGATGACGATATACTGCATAGCTACACAGTACACAAGTCAAGTGTGGCAAAAGAAGATCTCCCAACCTATACGCTAATACGTTCATGGAACCAAGACAATATGATACAGTGCATTGATACTTCTCAGTATTTCCCCGACCTTATGGCCTTTGCAGAGGAGAAATCACTAATGGTTTATAACATTGGGTATGGGAAGTTCGAATCCAAGTTCCAAGCACATACCAGGATCATGAAGGTACAATTCTCGTCGTTTAGATCCAATTTTGTCTTTGGCTCTGGCTATAACGGTAAGATATTCTCTTGGGACCTTGAATCAACTTCACAACAACCGTACTTGGAATCGCAAGTGACTCAACTGACCCATTCTTATCCAGTATTAGCTATGGATCAGGTTCCTGATAACAACGGTCTTCTCATAACTGGCTCTACAGATGGTAAGATTATACACTGGAATCCACAGATACTGGCGAAGCCAGCACAACAGCCAATCAAACTGGAGATGCCCAAATCATCTGCTATTAGGTACGATGAGCTAACACCAACCTGTTTCACGCATTTGGAAAGTGAACACGGATATCTAATCGTTGGAAGTGAAGATGGCAATGTGTACAAGATGAAGAGATTTGATCAAAAGTCAAAGACTGATTACATTGAAAAGATATTTCATGGACATATGGGACCAGTTACCTCTATTGAGCCTTCACCCGCATTATCGCAACTGTTTGTGACATCCGGTATGGATTGGAAGGTATTTCTATGGGATGCTTCACAGGAGGAACCATTATTGGAGATCTACAAGACGAATGCCATTATGGCATGTCTTTGGAGACCTTCGTTCCCAACTCAGATTGGGTATATTTATGAAGACGTTTTGGAGATTGTGGATCTGAGCATTGACACTGTGACACCAATTTGCAGGATCTCAACAGAGGAACCGTTAACTACCTTCAACTTCACCAAAGACGGTGAAAGGGTGGTACTTGGAGGGTCCAAAGGTGGCATCTACATCTATGCGTTAGATGTACCAACAAAGAGTGATATGGCAAAGTTCAAGAAACGTTTCTGCCCTACAGGTGGTATTTAAGCCTGGTGATAGCTATTCTTTTAGTATCTATTCATTGTGTGCTATCAATAGCCCTCTATTTACCAGTTCCAAAGAACTCATGGAAGCCAACCAATGTGAATCTGTATCTGACATCACCAGCGTTCAATCTGGTCAACGCCTGACTGACATTAGCTTCGTTAATGTCCAAAGTCTCAACCCATGGAGCAAACTTGTGATCTTTAGCCAATTGCAAGAGTTCAATGGCCTCTTTTCTAGAGCCAAGAAGAGAAGCACCGAGGAAAACACCGTTTTGCAAAAAGGTGAATGGAGAAACTTGTAGTTTCTCATCAACGTGTGGCAAACCAACGGAAATGAGCTTCTTGTTAACCTTCAAAGTAGAGAGGAAGGCATCAACATCGGTGTCAACAGTGGAAGTGGCACAGTTGATGATGGCATCAAAGTAGTCAAAGTAGTTCTTAGACCAGTCTTTCTCCACGCCGGTGGCAATGAATTTGTGAGCACCCATCTTTGTAGCGTCCTCCTGCTTAGAATAAGATCTAGAGAAGGCAGTCACCTCGGCACCAAGGGCCTTAGCAATCATGATAGCCATATGACCCAAGCCACCAATACCAATGATACCGACGTGTGGGGTCTTACCCTTAGCCAGTGTGTCTTCGATGCTTCTCTTGATTGGAGAGTAAACGGTCAAACCACCACACATCAGTGGAGCAACAAGGTGGGACTCCAGTCCATCTGGGATCGGGAACACCATCTTCTCGTGTGCTCTGACGTGAGAGGCATACCCACCTTGTGACACATAGCCATCAGGGTAACGACCAGCGTACGTACCAACCTGGTGCTTGCAGTACTGCTCATTGTCCTCTTCACATCTAGAGCACTCGGCACAGCAAGATGCGCTGGCACCGAGCCCAACCCTGTCACCAACCTTCACACCAGTGGTACACTTGGAACCAACCTTCAACACTTTGCCGACGATTTCGTGACCCACACACTGGGTCTTAGGACCATAGCTAGAGGACTTACAAGCCAACTCGCTCTTCGACCACTCGTTCTTCAAGGTGAACAGCTCAGACGCACACACACCGCAGCACTCAATCTCGATATCAACGTCTCTATCGCCAAAGTTCTTTGGCACGTAGGACGTGAGCTTTGGGTTGCTCCACTCCGAGGGATCGGAGATGGCAAACCCTTTGAACTCTTCTGGATAGTTAACAGTGGTTGACGACATTGTTGCTGGTTGCTTTTGCTTGAATCGACTCTCCAGACCAGCTGTTGGGATGTGAGATGAGCTAGGATTCCGACTCTTATTTATACTCATGCATGCTGGGCCTTGCTTACAAACGGCTAAATCATTGACGGTTAGGGTAAACTTAGCTGTAGTTTTTGCCTATATGAGAAGCGCAGATTTCAACTCCGAGCTGGCGTGTGTAGCACCGAGATGAAGGCGAAGAGCCATAGAACCAGTGACTATGGAACCGAAGGTGGTGAAGCATCTTTTTTACGAGGTTCCCTGTCGTTTTAGCAGCTCAGTTACGGTGTTCAATTGGTGTTAGTGAGCTACTTAACGTGGATGTGGACCAGCCGGCCAGTTTCGCCGTAACACAGGCTCTGGCTCTGGCTCTGGCTGACTCGAGGTCTCCACTAACCCGGTGGTATTATCTGTGACTGATGGGTTGAATGTGGCCCTCAAGAGACGTGGTGCACTACGCATCGAAACCCTTGCCAGGCCCCTCTGCTGCTGATTCAGCTGGTACGCCGAAACGGTTATCAGGCTGGTTTTCGCCAGCGTACGGTTGCCTCAGCGTGGATGTGCCGGGAATACTTTCCCAAAGGAGCAGTAAGTAGAGCGGAAACGCCGGTGGGACTTTTCACTTCTTTGACAGATACATTGGCCTCACGTCGGCTTCTCAGCGTCGAGAGCGAGTGCGAGTGCTCACGTATCAATTGGTGTAACGGTGGGAGCTGACGATCCTGGTGGTCATGGAGCCGGCACATTTATGCTGTGAATTGCTGTGAATGCGGTGGCATCGGTGCCTTGTTCTTCGGACCTTGAGGCCTGTGGACCATTAGCTGCGGGACCACGATGCTTGTCTGGTCGCTTGTTTCTTGGGCAGCACAACGTCCAAGCGTGGTGACCAGTCCAGCGAGCCTCCGTGGAGTGTTGCTGAGGGTGTGTGATCCCCACAGATGGACGCAGACGGTGCAATTAACAAGGAGTAACGGGTGCTCAGTAAGGGTCTACGCACTTCTTTTCGGCCGAGACCAGATACACCTATGGGTTACCCTCGCAGCTCAAGGGCACAACGTCAAGGGTATACAGGCCAATTGTGACGGGGAAGGGTTCAGCTGTGGGGGAGAAAGCACATTCGGGGAGTATCTGGGGTAAACGTCCGGTTGATCCGTCTAGAGATCTCTCTGAGACTCATCAGCGATGCGATGGAAGCGCATGCCAAAGCGTTGATGTATGTCGGTTCTAGCGACGTGGTCTATTGCAGCGTGTGGATTTCCCTTTCGGAACTCGTCCCTGTTAGCTCAGTCGGTAGAGCGTTCGGCTTTTACAGAACTAACGAGGGGAAGTTAACCGAAATGTCAGGGGTTCGAGCCCCCTATGGGGAGTTCCACTTTCTTTTTTTGGCCTCGCCAGGGGAGGTCACGTGACACGTACAAGAGCATGGGCTATAATAATGGCATCCAAGACCAAGCATACAAGCTACACTCGATACTGTGGAATCTAGCACACTTGCTGCACTTATAATATATACATGGTTTCCATCCCGCACCCTATGTAGCCATCAAATCCAGGTCTGTTTCTTCTTCTCTCTTCTCTCGAGTAATCTCTTGTACTTGTTACCCTTCACCGAGAGAATCTTTTCGTCAGCCTTCGCCAACGCCTCTACAACCTTTGCCCTTCTTTCAGTCACGTTCTTCTCGTATCTGCGTCCCTTTGGTCTCAGTGTGCCCTTCAGGTACTCATTGGCCTCGTACTTCTCCTCGTAGAACTTCTTGTCGCCCTGCAACTGTGGGAGACAGTCTTGCACGCCATATCTGTACGCAAGCTTCCAGAGATCCGACTGACGACGCAGCGAGTACTTGGGATCATGGTACTTCTGCGTTACTGGGTGCTTGTTTGGCAAGAACGGATTGGCATCCTCAGCGGTCGTCAGCGTAGGCTTGGTGGCATACTGCTTGAATGGTACAGGCGGATAGCGCTCGAAGAAACGTTGAAGCGTAACTGGAAGTTGGTAGAAGAACGCCGAATCGCTGAGATCCTTCGTCACGTCCTTGGCAACCTGGAAGAGTCCCACACTCGGCTTCATTGCTTTGTTTTGTTTTGATGATAATCTCACTAAAAACGACTCCAGAGCTTTGTCCATTGGACGAAAACCTCTTTCAGGACAAAAAAAAACGAGAAAATCGGACAAATGGTAGGCGCAACATTTCGCAGATTGGCGCAGACTCCGTCGATGACTGATAATCTTTTCATTCTCTTCTCTCTCTCCAAACAAGACTTCCCTCATTCTGACCAATTCGCTTTACCAAGGCTCAAGATGTTGCGTGTTTTGAACAAGTCCCTCACTGCTCCTAAGGCGAGACTATTCTCCACGGCCAGAACTGCATGGCAAGTTGTAAGTGACGCTCAATTGGTTTCCCCCTAGCTTGCGGCATTCGACTAACAATGGCTGGACATATAGACCAATCCAGATCCTAAGCCGGAGTCTGAATCTGTGAAGTTCATCACTGAGACGTCCAAGTACTCTGTGACCACGTACTCGCGTCCGGATGTTGTCTTCGAGAAGGGCCAAGGTGCCCTTCTGTGGGACATTGAGGGTCGCCAGTACATCGACTTCACTGCTGGTATCGCAGTGACAGCTCTGGGGCACTCGCACCCGGAGGTTGCCCGTATTATGTACGACCAGGCATTGACGTTGATCCACTCTTCAAACTTGTATCATAACCTCTGGACCGGTGAGCTGTCGCGTCAATTGGTTGAGACGACTAAGAAATCTGGTGGTATGCACAATGCATCCCGTGTGTTTTTGGCTAACAGTGGTACTGAAGCTAACGAGGCTGCTTTGAAGTTCGCTAGAAAGCACGGTAAGACAATCAGTGATGATAAGACGGAGTTCATCACGTTTGAGTCTTCTTTCCATGGTCGTTCAATGGGTGCGTTGTCCGTCACTCCAAACCCAAAGTACCAATCTCCATTTGCTCCTTTGATTCCGGGCATCCATGTTGCCAAACCAAACATCGAGAGTGTCAAGGCATTGATCTCTGATAAGACATGTGGTGTGATTATCGAGCCAATCCAAGGTGAAGGTGGTGTCCGTCCTATTCCAGCTGAATTCCTCGTTGAATTAAAGGCATTGACAAAGAAGCATGGTGCTGTGCTCATCTACGATGAGATCCAGTGTGGATTGGGTCGTTCAGGTAACCTGTGGGCCCATGGTAAATTGCCAAAGGAGGCTCACCCAGATATCTTGACAATGGCCAAGGCCCTTGGTAATGGATTCCCAATAGGTGCTACTATGATCACAGAGGACGTTGAATCTGCTTTGAAAGTGGGTGATCATGGAACTACTTATGGTGGTAACCCACTGGGGGCAAGAATTGGAAGCTATGTCTTGAGTCAAGTTTCCAACGAAAAGTTCCTTGAAGAAGTCAATACTAAGTCCAAGGTTTTCAAGGAGAAACTTAACGCTTTGAAGGAGCAATTCCCAGAACAAATCGTCGAGGTTAGAGGTGAAGGTTTGCTGTTGGGTATTCAGCTCAAGGATGATCCAACTCCAGTTGTTCAAGCTGCAAGAGAACGTGGGCTGTTGATCATCACAGCTGGTGGTAACACTATTAGATTTGTTCCAGCATTGAACATTGAGAACAAACTCATTGAACAAGGCTTGGATATTCTCCAGGAGTCACTTTCTTCCGTGTTCAAGAAGTGATGTCTTCCAGGAAACCTTTATAGAAACACTGGACATGTTGTATCACTGCAACAAGTATTACTGAAGTCAATTAAGAATATTTCGCATACATACTACGACAATTGTAAGGATTCGTAGAGCTCGCACACATCATGTGCTTCAGTGAGACGTGTGGTGATGGTAGGCATTGTGGGGTTCAGCTCTTCTGCAAGACACTTCTCACACCATCGCTTATCCAAGAGTTTCCCCATAAGTGGTGATCAGAGCCGTTCAATGCAAAAAGATGTTGGGCGTGTGTGCCTGATTACTTCCAGCTCAATCAAGCCCAGAGAGTGCTCTCTTCCGTGTTTCTCCAGGAAGACTGCGCCAACATGGCGACTTCCACCATACTTCCCCCATTGGGTGTAAGGAGGGTTAACTCTTCCACTTACAGTCACCTTAATTCAACAAACTTAACCCACAAAGAGTAGAACAAGGCTGCTTTAGCCATTAACACTCGTTCAACAGTTGAACTGTTCTCTTGGAATAAACACCCCCATGAGTTTATGCACATTGATGCTGAAAATTTGGCAGCCTGCATAAAGCCTTCGAGGGAAAGCACAACATCAGACGTCTGTCTATTTGATTCTAAGGTGGTGATTGATACAAGGGGACCTTACAGAGAGTACAGTGGTGGCTGGAATGTGGTGCTAATGTATATGGGGAGTTGCTATTTAATATAGAAGAGGTATTGTTGGGGGAGGGTTAAATGCAATTGCGTTGCTCTGCATATGCTGTTTTGATAGAACTCTTGATTTTATAGTGGATAGCAGTTATTGATCGTCTTTGGACGTCAAAGTCACCAAGTACGAGTTGTATGAACAAGCTGCTCTTCCTAATTTCTCATCATGTACACCGCTGCTGATGAGGTCATGTGTCACTTTGATGCTATGTGTGTCAATCACCCCCAAACCACGACATGCAAATCGTGCTATGTTAGCTCGCGTGGGTATGCTTTGTCTAATTTTAAGAGCATTATGAGAGTTGGATAACACAGGTTCCAATGCTGTGCCCTTTGGAGCCCACAGTTGTTGAGATGAAGTCATTCATGGCTAAGAACCAAGAGGGGGTCATCACACTTGGAGGCAAATTGAGTCTTGTTCAGTCGAATTGGTTGTTACTTTGCGACATTCCCTTGCTCAGAGTGGCATACTCAAACTGATACTTTTAACAGCTATATAAGAAGAGCCAAAGATCTCTATCTTCACCACAATGATGACTCGTATTCATCATTCAGCTCAAAAATGGGTTTCAAGAGCTATACCCTTGGCGATATCAATCAATACTTAAAGCAGCGTTGTACAACGTTATTCCCAAACAGGGAACAATGGGAGTTTGAAAAGAAGAACATCAATCCGCTTCCTGGTCTAAGATCTATGTCATGGCGTCAATGGCAGTTCTTCATCATCGGATTCATCTCATGGACGTGGGATGCTTTCGACTTCTTCGTCATGTCGCTCAATGTCTCTAAGCTTGCCACCGACCTTGATCGATCTGTCAAGGACATCTCATGGGGCATAACAGTTGTTCTGATGTTCAGATCCGTGGGTGCGATAGTGTTTGGTTATTTTGGTGACAGATATGGAAGAAAGTGGCCTCTAATTGTCAATCTCTTCTGCTTGGTTGTTATTCAGATTGGCACTGGCTTCATCAACACGTATGCAGAGTTCATCGGTGTTCGTGCACTGTTTGGAGTGTTTATGGGTTCCATGTACGGCCTGGCTTCTGCCACTGCTATGGAAGGACTGCCTACAAGTGCACGCTCATTCCTATCTGGTGTTTACCAGCAAGGTTATGCACTTGGGTATTTGCTTGGTGTGATCTTTCAAAGAGCTATAACTGATACAACAACACATACCTGGAGATCTCTGTTCTGGTTCTCAGCTGGTCCTCCTGTTTTGTTCATCATATGGAGAGCATGCTTACCAGAAACTGAAGCATTTTTGCAACAACAGCTTCACATGAAGAATAAAAACACGAGCTTTAGTGAAGATGCTTACAAAGTGTTTAAAGAGCAATGGCTGAAGATGATCTATCTTGTTTTGCTGATGGCTGGTATGAACTTCATGTCTCACGGATCTCAAGATTTATATCCAACCATGCTGACGGTCCAGCTTAACTACAGTCCAAACAGATCCACTGTTACCAACAGTGTGGCCAACTTAGGGGCATTGGCTGGAGGTATGACTTTTGGTCATTTCTCTGGGTTCCTTGGGCGTCGTTCTGGAATAATCATCTGTTCTATTTTAGGTGCTTGTATGATATACCCGTGGGCCTTCGTTCGTAACAGTGGAATCAATGCAGGTGTGTTCTTTCTTCAATTCTTTGTTCAAGGAGCGTGGGGTGTCATCCCAATTCACCTCTCTGAGTTATCACCACCAGAGTTTAGAGCCTTTGTTGTTGGTGTGTCATATCAGCTTGGTAATTTAGCGTCCAGTGCTTCCTCTACGATTGAATCGACCTTGGGGGAAGGATACCCTTTGTACGACGAAAACGGTGACGTGATTGAAGGTGTCTACGACTATGCCAGAGTGATGGCTATCTTTGTTGGTGCAGTGTTCTGCTATGTCATTTTGATTGCTTTCATTGGCCCTGAAAACCGTCATTCCAATATCAATTATGTGCTTTCTAAGGAGGAGGAAGAAGAGCTCATTCAGCAAAGAATGATCGTCACCAACAATGGTTCTGAGCAAGACTCCAATGCTGATGACGAGGAGAAGCTTGTCACAGCTCACACTGAGAAGATAGAGCCAAAGTGATTCTAGTGGAGTATTGACAGTAGGTCAATTTATGGTATGTAATGATGCAGTAATTCGTAGTCGTCACGTTTCATATAGCTGACATCTTTTATCCCAGCTGTGGAGACAAGCTTATGCATAATTTTGGTATCTCCTTTCTCACCATGGTTTCTGTGAGGGAGAATACTCCATACTTAACCCAAATAGTCGAACATTTAACCACCGAGTAACATTTTAGCTGTGTTCCATATCGTAGTAATCATTGAACTACTTATAAATCCACCAATACCCCATAGTTTCAGTCCTCGTAAGAGATCATCAATAAGAACATGTATGAGGTATACCAGCACACTGATAATAGCTGACATGGTCAAGATTAGTGCCATAAACTTCAAGAACATCGAGTCATCCTTCAAAATCGAGTGTAAAAGCTGGACATAAGTGGGATCTGAGCAATTGTAACTATCTCGCCTTTGATGCTTTTTCAGCTTGTTCACCAATCTTCCTCGGATGAGTTCTTTAACACTCATGATGTATATCCTTTATTCGAACATTCGGATATGATCTATGTGTACTGTCTGAATCTTCTTCTTCCTCATTTTCCATCACTATCAAGACAAAATGGCTGGCTCGTATCTACTTATGTCCTATTGTGCCCCCTACCGATAACTACAACGCGATGTGTGAACACTACAATTTTAGTAAAGTTGAAGGTCCTTTGTGTGGTTATTACGACCGGAGTGGTTTCATCACTTCTTCAAATAGAAGGGTCTTTAGTTCTTCCATGTCCAATTGCTCTGGGTTTTCGTTAAAGTCTCCCCAGAACTTTTCGTCCAAGGGGGCAGCGTTTGGTTCATCGTCCGGGTCGTGGTATAGCTGGAGATAAGGATGATCAAGAGCTTGAACAACGCTTATACGTTTCTGGGGATTGAACGTTAGCAGTTTCTCCAATAAGTCAAGTGCCAATGGGTTTGTTCCCTGTGGGAAGATGGTGTGTAATGGTACTTTCTTACGGAATGGCAAGGTGCGGATGTATTCCCTTGCACGCTTAGACTTGATGTTGTAGTAGTCATCCATGGTTGGGGTCCCCAGAACTTCCATGATTAGCCAAAGCTGGTTGTGATAGTCCCTTCCTGGGAACAGAGGCTTACCTGAAAGCATCTCTGCAAGGATACAGCCCACCGACCAGACGTCAATCGCAGTGGTGTACTCTTGGAATGTCAACATAATCTCCGGTGCTCTGTACCATCTCGTAGCAACGTACTCCGTCATGAAACCGAAATTGTTTTCACTTGACGCTACGGAGCGTGCTAGTCCAAAGTCACACACTTTCAGGTCACAATTTGAGTTAAGCAAGAGGTTTGAAGGCTTCAAATCTCTATGTAAGACGTTTGCAGAATGCATTGCCTTCAATGCCCTTAGCGTTTGATAGATGAAATATTGGCAGTGATCATCACTCAGAGTCTGCGACTTTATAACCCTGTGTAGGTCTGTCTCCATGAGCTCTTGAATCAGATAAACCTCACTGAAGGACTCGTAGTTCAAAGGCTTCTGTATGTCAAGGATCGATATGATATTCTCATGGCTATTGAAATGTTTCAACAGCTTCAGTTCACGAAGTGTTCGAAGACAGAACATCGGCTTGTCAAAAGGTTGGATCTTCTTGATCGCAACCTTTGTGCCTGTAGGCTTATGGACAGCAGAGCACACCACACCATAAGCACCTTCTCCAACAATTTCTAAAATCTGATAGTAATCAGAAACATTGAATGAGATCTTCCTCTTAGATGCCATTCTTGTCATGTAAACACCTTACTTCGCCTTCGCTGACCCGGAAGATATGTTGAGTAGACCTAATGAAACGCAAATTTGGGACCGAAATAAAGAGAAAACTCTCACTGCCAGCTATAAAGCACCTCCAAGTCGGTATAACTAGCTCAAAACGATAATATTAAGCAGGGAATTACCAGTTTAAAGGGAAACTTGGTGTTGTTCTTGTTGGTTGTATCGGTCTACGCACGCGGTGAAGTCACAATTTTTTTTCTGTGCGTTTTATATAGGAGGCTTTTCTGTTTCACAGTGGAATTGGAAGGACATTCCAACACGATGAACAATTACTTGGAATGAAGGGAGTGATAGCTAATCAACAAGTTGTATATACTGGGATATTGATAGCTAATCAACAAGTTGTATATACTGGGATATTGATAGCTATGGAAGCACAGCTTGCTATGAAGAAAAGACACTAAGAGTTGTAAAGGAAAACACACACATAACCTATTACACTTTTAAACGTATAAACAACTAAAGAACACCACCTATAAAAAGAAGAGTAAAGTAAACTGAAGAGTTCCTCAACAAAGAACGTAGTGAAAAGAAACACAAAAAACCAAACATTGAACCCCTATATTATAAACCTCAGTGTGACATGACAATCATTAAGAAAAAAAGTCCCCAAAACACCAAACAGGTAAGAGAAGTTTAGAAAGCAGCAATACTTGGGTATAATTCCTTCTTCGCGCTGATATCAGTACTTTCATCTGCGTTTTCAACTTCTTTAATCATCTCTGCTAATCTGTGCTGGATAACATGGATTAACTTCTTATGACGAGTAATGAAGTCATCTTCAACCCGTAGCGACTCCATTTGTTTGGATAGTTGTGCCATCTCCTCATCTTCGTACTCGGATTCGGACTCCTCATAACCATCGTCGAAGTCATCAGAATCCTCAGAAGCGCATCCGCTTTCAACAGTGTCAACATCGGCACTCTTTTGGTTGATGCCAATGTTGTAACGTCTATAAGCGTCACTCTGTGTTGTTGATGATTCCATTCTGTTGGCAATCTGTGGATAAGCAAAGTTGGTTCCTGTAGCACCGAGAGATAACGATGGGTATAGCGAGGAGGAGTTCAACGATTGCAATGGTTCAGAACATTTCAATGTTGGCAATGAAGGGTTTTGACCTTGCAAAGCTGGAGTGTATTGGTCCAAAGATGCACTCAACTGGTTGAAGAAAGTGTTGGTATCGTACAATTCCTGGTTTGTCTTGAAGAATTTTGATGAACCAGAATTTGAGAGTGGAGGGAGAGAAAAGTCATTGTTCATGTTGAATTCCAAGTTGGTCAATCTGGAGGCCATATCGTTGTTGTAACGTGGAGTAACCTTGCTCTTCTTAACATCGTCAAAGAATTGGTTGACCATCTCTGGTTTTCTCTTTCTTGACTCTTGCTCAGAAGGCTCCATGGCCAGTAAGGAATCAAATTGGGATTGTTGCAAGTCAAAAGCTGACGTTGCTGAATTAGCACCTCCAGTAACGTATTGATCCAGTCCATTACTGGATCTGAATGAATTTTGATAGTTCAAGTTACGAGCCTGTGCTGCCTGCAAAGCAGCCTTTTCAGCAGCTCTTGTAGCAGAGTCCGCATGTGTCTTAATGTGCTTCTTCAAATCTTGAGGTCTTTTGAACTTCTTTGTACAAGTGGTGCAGACATAAGGCTTCAAAGGAATGTGAACCCTGATGTGCGAAGTGATATGATCACGCTTCACAGTTTGCACTCTGCAGGTGTCCCAGTGACAGTTCAAGTTCAAATTACGGTTTGATTTGCGTCCAACATGGTCATCACACAAGTGGTTGTACAGGACTTCCGCATTTTCAAACATCATATGACAGTGGTCCCATTTACATTGCAGTGGGCCTTTATGATCGTCGTCTTTGTTCTTACGCAAGTACTTGAGCTTTTTTGGCGGTTGCGCTACGGCAGCAGAGTCATGTTGACCTTGTGGCTGTGCAGTGGTTGCAGTTTGAGCAACACTGCCAGCACCACCAATAGAGCCCTGGGTTGACAAATTAGGCATCATTGCTGTAAAGCTTGCATCTGGCAGTAAGACCTTTGGATTTGGCAAGTACGTTGGCACCTGTGCAACCTGTTGCAAGTTGGAAGACTCCAGAACAGACCCCAACGGAGGGATCGAATAGTTGTTCAGCCCAAAATTTGTAGGGTAGTGACTGTGCTGAGTGACAGCATGGTAGTTGTCGTTCATCCCTGGCATCTGCTGAAGCATTTGCCCATGTGACAGGCCCATGTCCTTTGGCGGCGAGTCAACAACAGACGACGCAGAGGTGTAACTCTGCGGTGAATGGCCTTGTGAGTGTGGCGAGTTCGAGTCCACAGAGGACTCTGATGCCTTCGAGTCCCTATGTTGGAACTCCTTCGTGGAATCCGCAGATACGGCGCTGAACATCCTGTGCTTGGTCTTGTTTATAGATGTCAAGTACTAATGTCTTGTTAAGATCTCTTGATGTTTGAATGGAATTTCAAGATCTTCCCCTGTTGCCTTATTTAAGCTAGTCAAGAAAACAGGGAAGAAGGGCTCCTTTTTAAAAGTGGATTTCTCACCCGCTCCCTTTTCAATTTGGTGCCAAGATTGCAAAGGCGGGAAAAGTAGTAAAAAAACACAAAAAACACACACATACACACCAAAATTTAAAGGCAAAGCGCATATATGTCTGGTACGCGCAGTACAAACATCCCTACACCCATGGTTAAGCCGCCGAGTCTATGCAATAAAGCACGTTTCTTTTGGTCGCTTTTCCCAATCAATTTTAGTCACGAGGGTAGAAATCCGCAGGGTAAA